TTTGCCCCACCTCGTGTGCCCCTTCCCCCGCTATGAGGTGCCACCCGGGACGGGGCTTGGCTTGCCTCCCGGGGGCCCCCTGCTCGAGGAGGCCAGGGCAGCTGACCTCATTCTCCATGGGGCCAGGGCTTTCAGACGGAGCGGAGAGCCCAGTGGCCCTGGCCTCTCACTCTCCGCCCTCCCCCCCGCAGGAACTCAGGGAGCCAGAGTGACGGAGAGGGTAAGGCAGGCCTCGCGGGGGCCAGGGGAGGGGTGGGGGATGAAAGGGGGTGGGGGGGCGGGGGCAGCAGCACTGTGAGAGCACCTGAGCCAGCGGGCCCAGACTCGGGGAGGGAAGGAGGAGAGGGGACCCCAGGTGAGCAGGTGGCGGGCGGCGCTCACGTGGGGGCAGAGGCAGCACCCCGGCCCCCCTGCGGAGGAGCGGAGAGGAGGGCCCAGGGCTCTGCTGACCCGCCTCCGCCTTCCAGAGAGGAGCCCCGGCACTGTGATGGAGCACGCCCTGCTCAACGACGAGCGTGAGTCCGAGAGGGAGCGGGGAGCTGGCGGGAGGGGTGCTCCGGGGGAGGTTCGGAAGGCAGGGTGGGGTCACCCCCCCCAGCACCCCATCGGTGAAAGGGGCGAGGCTTGTGTCGGGCGCAGCCGCTGCCGGCCTCACCGGGCCTCTGCCCCCAGGGGTCCTGAAGGAGATCCAGAGCACGCTGGAGGGGGACCGCCGGTGAGTGACCTTCTGCCCAGGCCACGTTCTCGGGGCGGGGGGCGGGGGGGCCCAGGGTGCTGGGGAGCTCTGAGAAGGGGGCCCGGTGCCGCGCCGCCCTGAGTCCCCGTGGAGGGTGACTGCCTGCCTGTGCCCGTGCAGGAGCTGTGGCGATTGGCGTTCTCAGCAAGTGGCCGTGAGGTACAGCCTCAGCAATGGGGGAGGTAGGAACCCTGAGCATGCTTCGGGGTGGGGGGCGGCTGGGAGGGCAAGCTCCTGGGGAGGGAGAGGAGGAAGAACCCCCATCCCCTCCCCCAAGCCCCTAACACCAAGGGCCCCTCCCAGCCCTGACACACGCCCCGGTTGTCCCGGGAAACCGCGCGTCCGGGCTCAGCGTGCGTGACTGAGGCCTCCTCCTGCCCAGGACGCGCCTGAGCTGCTGTCGCTCTCCCTCCTTCCGCAGTGGAGTGAGCGGGCCGCGGGTCCAGGCCGCGCGGTGAACACACACTACTGAGGGCCCCTGCTCGGGCCGCGGGGCCGCCGGGAGAGGCCCGGGCGCCGGGCCGGGCCGCGGGCTGGGGCCCCCTCAGCTCCCTCTCTGCTGCTGCTCCCGGCCCCGGGGCCGCCCCTCCCCCGGCCTGGTCCGTCTCCGTCGTTTTGTCAATGTTGCACAGTTTTTATCATTGTCCCCCACCCCCGCTTTTTGTAGTGGGCTGGGTTTTAAATTATAAATTTTAACTGCCTCTGGGTGAAAGAGTTTTTAATAAACACCTGATTACCTCTTCGCTGGTCCAAGGGCTTTAATTTTTTAATTGTGCAGAAATTTTCCATGTTAAGTGGACACAGTCATTAGCGGGTTCCTGGCCTCCGCCGTGGGGTTCGTGCCCTGGACCGGGCCGGGGCCCCCCCGAGGAGCTGGAGCAAGCGGTGCCTGCTTGTGTCGGAGCGCTGCCGCGCCTCCTGTCCTGAGGAGTAAACGGCAGGAGGGGACCCCCTTGGGTGTGCCTGGCTGCTGTCGGAGAGGAAGGCACCCACAGCATCTCAGACCTGGTGGCGTCCCCCAGACTTCCGGGAAGGCCCGTGGGGCGCTGCTGAAGCGGGGGGCAGTGCCTGGGGGTGACAGGCCTTGCCCACAGACGAGGGCCTGGATCAGACAGATGCTAAGGTCTTTCTACACCAGGGGTGTGATGCCACTCGGGCTGTATCTTTGCTCACCCGTCTTGGTTGAGCACCTACTGTAGGCCTGGTGTGCAGGGCTCCAGGGTGGCCAAGACGATGTGGGGTGCGGTCCTGCCCATGGGGGGCGCACAGTCCTCATCAGTGCAGGAAGCGCCAGGGGCCTGGGGTGGGGCATTCAGCTGTGTTGGGAGAGAGCACCGGGAGGGGGCGGGGCCGAGGGTCAGGTGGGCGGGGCAGACTGTCCAGCGCAGAGGTCAAGCAGGGACAGCAGCACACCAGGAACCGGCCTGCGTGCCGTGGGAGCAGCTGAAGAGCCCAGGGTGGCTGGCAGGCAGGGAGCTGACGAGGCTGCCAAGCAGCCAGGGCCCGGCTGGGCCACCGCAGCCTCGTGAGAGTGTGGGCCCCGCCGTGCGCACAGGGGCCCGCTCCGGCCGGAGCAGGGGACAGGCCGGGTGGATGGACACCAAGTGGCCCGCGGAGCAGAGGACGGACGGACGTGCTGTGGCAGCGTCCTGCCTGCCACCCTCCAGCCAAGCGTGTCCAGCCCAGGAGTCCAGATTGGGGAACTCAGGCCACTGGAAGTGCATCCCCTGTTTCTCCTTAGAAGGGGGAGGGGCTTACTGAGATGGGAGCCCCGAGGACCACACAGAGTGGGGAGAAAGGCCCCCCCAAAGGGAGGAGGAGGAATGCTGTCCCCGAAAGAAGTAGAGAAGGAAGGGGAGGCTGGGCTGATTTTTCTAGAGCCGAGAGAGGAGGGAGGGCTGCAGACCCCACTGTCCGGGTTCGAGTCTGGACTTCGTCTGAGGCCAGGGCAGCCTCCGAAGGGCCCCACCCCCAAGGGGGTTTCGGGATGAACTTGACTCTCCTCAAGACCACTGTCATTGGGTCCCAGCCAGCTCCCATGGTGCGATCACTTCCCTGCCCTGCCTCAGTTCTGTCTGGGAAATGGGGTGATAGCGGCTTCCCCTTGGGGTCTGTTCTGAGGTTCACGTGCGTCCAGGAGGGATATGAATTAGCGACAGGGTGGCCTCTGTCAGGGTCGGGAAGAACAGAAAAGAAACTGAGCCTTACTGTTTGTACCTTGGGGTGGCACTGGGGTCCTCAGGCTACAGGTCAGCGGGTCACACACCAGAAGTGGGTGCCAAGGAGGGAGTGGGATGAGACACCTGGAGAGCAGCCTCCACCAGCCTGGGAAGATTTGTGTATGGTTTTTGACTGCCAGTCTCAGGAATGCACAGCTCTCTTAGAAAGTCCGGTTAGCGCCTGGCTGGCGTAGCTCAGTGGATTGAGCACGGGCTGCAAACCAAAGTGTCGCAGGTTCGATTCCCAGTCAGGGCACATGCCTGGGTTGTAGGCCATGGCCCCCAGCAACCGCACATTGATGTTTTTCTCTTTCTCCCTTCCCTCTCTAAAAATAAATAAAATCTTTAAAAAAAAAAATCTGGTTAGCTGTAAACCCGCTCACACACGTGAACAAGTGACGTGAAGTTTTCCTGCCAAGAAACCAAGAACTGAAAATAATGGCGAGCACGCAAGCGAGGGTAAGTCAGAAGAAAAGGCCCTGCCTGCACCCCCATGGCTCAGGGAGGCTTCGCGGCTGCGGGGGCAACCTGGCTAATGAGACGGAACGAGACAACGTTGGCAACGAATGCTCACACACGCACGCGCACACACACACACACACACACACACTCCCGAAACGATCACCATGTCTCCTGGAAATGGGTTTACACCTGCACTCACTGAGGATGAGCTCTGCCTTGAGTGCCCTGGGCTCGGAAATACCAGCTCGTGGTGGTGGTTTGTGTGTTTTAGTTCTGAGAAAACACCCGCACGGCGGGAGTGTGAGGGCAACAGTTTTTCCTGACGGGCGCGCACACGTGGGAGGGCTCGCGTTCCCTGGAAAGTGGGCTAGGGAAAGCCGGGCTGGCGCGGAGACAGGAGTGAAGGGCCCTTCTGGCAGCGGCCCCAGGGGGACAGGTGACCGTAGCGGTGAAGCAGCGACAGGGAGAGGCTGAGTTGACAAGGACCGCAGCCCTGGAGAAGGGGAGTGAGTGTTGGGGGAGGTCGCTGCCGATTCCAGGGCCTCCAAGATGCTTCCAGCAGCTGGGCACGCGGTCTAGACACTCTGATCTACAGCACTCAACGGTGGGAGCCTTGGGGTCAGAGGTCAGGCAGATCCATCCAACCCTTGAACCCCAGACTGGGCTGTGACGGGCTGTGGGACCTTGGGTAGGTGACCTCACGCCTGTACCCTAGTTTACTTACCTGCAAAGTAGGGCCCACCGCCTAGAGTTGTAAGGGTTAGAGAGTCCGTAAGATCCCACAGCACCTGGCTGCTGGTGCACACCCAACCGAAGGAGGTGAAAGTTGTGGACGGTGGGGTGGGTGAGGCCAGGAAGGAGGAGAGGGCCCCTGGGAAGGGGAGGGAGGCGGTGGAGTCAGCAGAGGGCTGGGCATGGACGGAGGAGTTTACTCGTGAACCGAGCAGGTGGAGGCATGAACGAGGAAAGTGGAAGGAAGGAGAGGGAACCGGTCCAGGGGGTGTCGAGCGGACCAGTTCAAGGCGTACGTTTATGTTTTAAGCTGTTTTCTTTATATTTCACCATCTAAAAGAACAACAAAACCCTAACAAGACTCATGGGGTGCTCACTGTGTGCCAAGGTCAGCCCGCTCCCCACCTTCTGGAGCAAGCTGGGAGGCTCAGGGAGGAGGGTGAGGACTCCTCAGGTCCTTCCTGCAGTCCTCAGCCCCTGCCAGGCAAGAAGGCAGCGGAACTCGGGCCCCCACAGCGGGCAGCGGTGCCAGGCTGGCCTGGCTGGCAGCGACTCCCTGGCGGAACGCCTGTCCCCGGCTTTGGTCCCCAGCTGCGGCGTCTCCTCTTTCCTGTGTGGCCTCTGCTTTATTGTTATCCGAGGGGTCAGGACCCGAGGCCACTTGCATTATTGATGCCCCTTCCTAAGGCGGGAGACTAGGGAGGGCTGACCCTGTAGACCCCACCAGAGACGAACCGGAAACCAGAACTGGGTGGTGCACTGCGGAGGGCTGAGGAAACCGGCGGGCAGCCAGATCGGCAGGAAAAGGAGAGGACGAAGGCACCAGGAAGCCCCTCTTCGCCCGGCCCGCCATGGGCGGGAGAAAGGGCAAAGCGCCCCGGCGGCCCGAGAGGCCCGAGAGGCGGGCCGCGGGGGAGCAGGAGTCCGGGTCTGCCAGCGCAGACGGCGCGCCCAGCGAGGAGCGCCGACCCGGCCGCAGTAAGACCCGAGGACCCAGACCGGCCTTGGAGCCTGCCTCTGCGGGAGGCCAGGGGACCCCTGGTGGCCGCAGGAAGCCCTCCGCCGAGGGTAACAGCGGCTGCAGGCGGCCAGGCGCTGGATCTCCACCAGCCGCCCAGGGAAGGCAAGGCAGCGCGAGGCGGCGGGGACGCGGGCTCCAGGACAGCCGTGGGGGGCGCCTGGAGGGCAGTGTCCCCCGAGGAGGAGAGGGGAGAGCAGGCGAGCACGGCCACCGCAGGAGGAAAGGAAAAGGGCGGGCACCCTCGGCTCGGCGGGGCCGCCGAAAGCCTCGGAGCCTCGACGGGCACACGTCTGGCCGGGACGGGGACAGCTCCTGCCTGGACAGCGAAGCCCCAGAGGCCCAGGAGAGCAGCAGCCAGAGCGGCGGGGCTCCCGAGCTGCAGCCCAAGTCAGAGCAAACGGACACGGGCTCGGGAGGCGGCACCCAGAGCGGGTCGGAGTCGGCCCGGGAGCAGGGCGAACATCCGAGCACCGACGAACCCCAGAGCCAGGAAGGGTCGTTGGGGACGGGACCCCAGAAAGAGACGGAGGATCCCGGGACAGACACGGACTGGAGTCCGGAGGGGGAGGGGGCCGGGCCTGGACGGGGCGCACAGGCAGCCCCAGGATCAGTGAGCCAGGCCACGGAGGCCAAGGACTCTGAGCCGGGCAGAAAAGCCGGGCCCTCCGGCCCCCTCGAGGGCAGCCCCGCGGGCGTCCCACAGAGCCCCCGGGCTTCGCTGGACCCAAGGCCGACCCGGGACACAAGTGACAAGAGGGCGCAGCCGGGGGCGGAGCAGCGGGGCGCAGAGTCCCGAGGAGCCGAGGCCTCGACAGCCAGGGCTCCGCACCGCCATGTCGGAAAGGTGCTGGGGAAGGTGCACGCGGCGGCGGCGGCCAGCGAGAACGCGGCAGGGGGCGCAGGGGGAGCCGCGCCCGGGGACCCAGCGCCGCTGGCCGCCCTCGTGACGCTCCATCGGCTCCGCGCGAGGCCGACACCAGGCCCTGCTCCCCAGGCCGCGGGTCCGCGTCGTGCCGGCCTCAAGGAGAGGCTCCTGCGTGTGGCACGGGCCCTGGGCTTCCTGCAGTGGCTGTGGCGTCGGCTCCGGCTGCGCGCGAGCGAGGGGCAGGAGGCGGGCCCGGTGGCGGGGTCGCGGGCGGGCGAGGGGCGGGGTCGCGGGCCGGCGTTGCGGCGCCGTCTGGGGCTGCGCCTGGCGGGCGTGGTGGGGCTGGGGGTGCGGCCGAGGGCTCCCCCTGGCGGCAGTCCGCTCTCCCCGCAGGCAGCCGAGAGCCCAGCCTGCCACCACCCTTCTGAGGGTGTGGACCCCACTCCGGATCCCAAGTTCGCGGTCGTGTTCCCGAGGATCCACAGGGCGGGGAGGGCATCGAGCAGCCGGAGCTCAGAGGAAGCGTCCGCGGACGCTCCTGCCGGGGAGGGGCGCGTTTGGCCTTGCGCAGGGCCCTCAAGGGACAGTGAGGGGCCCACGGTGAGTGGAGAAAAAGTGGCCGGGCCCCGCCGCGGCTCTCTCCTCGGGGGAGTCCACGGGGGGCCTTCCCGTGACGAGCCCCCCCTGGAGGAGAGCAGCTGCAGCAGCGAAGCTGCTGCAGAGACCTTGGAAGCCGAGGCTCCCGTGCACTGGGCGCGGAGCTCCGACACCGGCGAGGACCCTGGGCTTGCCCCAGACGCGCTGCTGCCCCGACTCACGTTGGAGAGGAGCCCAGGTCCGTACCGGTCCCAGAGGGAGCGGTGGGAGCCGGAAGATGAGGTCGAAGAGGCGCTGGAGAGGGAGTTGGAGCTGAGCCTTGGGTCAGGCCTGGAGCCGCCGTCCTTTCTGGGGGCCGAGGGCAGGAGCCCAGGCGCCGTCCTGGAAGACACGGAGGACCTGGCCTGGCTGCAGTGAGTGATCGGGGCTCCGAATCCGCCGTGTCTGGGGCACGGGGTTCCTCATAGAGCCCCCCCTACTCCAGTTTCTGTAAAATGTAGAGGGAATTTTGCCCCACTAGAGGTGGTCTGAGTGGAAGAGGCCGGGGTGGGATGAAAATCAGATGCCCCTGCCTGCAAGTTCCTTGTCTATTGGGCACAAAATTTCCCTCCGAGTCAGCAGCCTGGCCCTGCCTGTAAGCCCCGCGGGCTGGGTAACTTATCAGCAGCCCAGACCCTGTGTTATATGGATGGGGCTCAGACAGGGAGCGTGACCTGTCCAAAGCGTCTCTGCAGCCAATGGCAGCAATAACCTAGGACCTGCCCCTCCCCCCAAGTCCCTGCCTCCCCACCGTGCTGTCCCCACAGGCCTCTGTGTGACAGCTCCGTTCTGCTGTGCCTCAAGAAGAGGTTTCGCCTGGGCCGCATCTATGTATGGAGGGACCCAGGGAGGAAGGGAGGGAGGGGGTGGCGGGCTGGGACTCCCCTTCCCCTGTGGTCCGAGGGCCCTCCAGCGCCCCTGGAGCTTCTCCTTCCCGGGCTGGGTGCTGCACCCTGTCCCCGGGGCCTGCAGAGACGGGGCGATGGCCTGGGCAGGGGAACGCTGGAGCCCCACTGCACTGGCGTCTCCCGCTCCCTCCATGTTCTGCTTCCACCCCCAGACCTTTGGGGGGCCCCTCCTGCTCGCTCTGAACCCCCGCTGGCCCCTGCCACTCTTCTCACCTGAGGTCGTGGCCAGCTACCACCCCAGCAAGGCCCCCAACACCGCCCCGTAAGTGGCTTTCCCCCACCAACCTTGTGTTCACCCCTCGGTGGCTGAGCCCTAGCAGGTCCCGCCGACTGAGGTCCTAGGGACGGTGGACACATTCAGCCTCTACCCGGGAGGGCCCCAGGTGCCCCTGGCAGCCTTCTCATCTGCCCCCCACCCTCCTTCCCCAGACACGTCTTTGCCGTCGCGGCCTCAGCCTACAGCCTGTCTCAGAGCACCGGGCAGAGCGTGTGCGTTCTCCTCAGGTGAGCGCTGACGCCGTGGCGCGTGCGGCTGAACCCACCGGCCACACTGAGGGCGGGAAGGAGGGGCAGGGGGTGGGGTCTGCATCTGAAACTGCCGGCCCGCTCCACTAGGGGGCAGCTCTGGACTTCCGCGGGGCTGTGCTCCTGGCTGAAGTCACCACAGGTGCCCCTTGAATGAGGCATCCCGGGGACTTTGTTGCTCTTGGTCTCCACGTCCCGGGTCTGTCTTTCTGCGTTTCCCGAGGTCGCCTCTAGGGGGAGTACCACTTCCAGCGGGCCGTGTCCCCACTTCGCCTGCTCAGTGGGGTTATCCTATGGGCCCCTGCCTGGAGACCCTGACCGCCCCTCCGTCCGTCCTTCCCTCCTGCAGTGGGCGCAGCGGCTCAGGGAAGACAGAGGCTGCCAAACAGCTCATGCGGTTCCTAAGCAGCCTGGAGCAGGAGCAGACGAGGGACAGAGGGTGGCAGGTGAGGGGCCGCTGGCCATTTCCCAGTGCCGTCTTTCTCCTTTGGGCCAGGAGGGTGGTCTTTCAGGTCTCTGGCTTCTCCTCCTGGACAACCTGGGGCGTTGCCTGCTGTGGGGGCATGGTGGGGTGGGCCGCCCTGACCCTCCAGGGGCCAGCACAGTCCCCAGGCACAGAGCGCCCCCTGCTGGCATGCTGCATCGGTGGGCCCTGGTGCTGCTTCTGAGGACACTTGAATGCCCTGCCCCTCCAGCTGGACGATGTGCTGCCCTTGCTAGGCAGCTTTGGCCACGCCAAGACAGTCCTCAATGCCAATGCCAGCCGCTTCGGCCAGGTCTTGCGCCTCTGCCTGCAGCAGTGAGTGACAGGCGTCCGGGTGGGGTCAGGGAGCACGCACAGTCAGCACCCTGGGAAGCTGAGGCTGCTGCCCATGGGGCCGACCCGGGGTGGGTCCCATTCTAAGCAGGGCCCCTGGGTTGCATGCACCCTGGGCACCCCCACCCGGTGTCCTGTGCCCACAGCGGAGTCATCGTGGGAGCTTCTGTGTCACATTATCTGCTTGAGACCTCGAGGGTGGTGTTTCAGGTGAGACCCGCCCTGCAGCTCACCCCTTTCCTGCTCCTGCAGTGGCAGAGGAGGAGGGGCCACTGTGGGGGGCTGTGGTCCCTAAGCCCCCCAGGCCGGCCTTCCCCAGGACTTGTCCTCACTGCCCCGGGGTCACAGGGCCTGGCCACGGTTCCCGCTAAGCCAGGCCTTACCCCCAAGGCCCAAGCCGAGCGGAGCTTCCACGTCTTTTACGAGCTGCTGGCGGGACTGGACCCCGCGGAGCGGGAGCAGCTGTCCCTGCAGGAGTCGGAGAGCTACTACTACCTCAACCAGGTGGGGGCAAGGTCCGCACCTCGGGGCCTGCCCGGGGAGGGCTCTCAGCGCAGGGGTGTGAGGAGGAGCCGGGAGAAGGGAGCGGGTCAGGCTCTGCCCGCACCCCCGCTGTGCTCCGCAGGGCCGGGCCTGCAGGCTCCAGGGCAAGGAGGACGCCCAGGACTACTCAAGGCTGGCGAAGGCCCTGCAGACGCTGGGCTTGTGCCCCGAGGAGCTGACGGCGGTCTGGGCCGTGCTGGCCGCCATCCTGCATCTGGGCAACATCTGCTTCTCCTCCTCGGAGGTGCGCTCCCGCTGAGGCGCTGGGCCCACGTGGCTTGCCTGCGTAGTCTGGGCGGCAGTGACGAGGCCAACTGCCTGCGTCCGTACGTGGGCGACTGCAGAGCCTGGGGCCACCCGCAGTCCGCACAGCCGCCCTGCAGAGCAGGCAGACCCTCATCGTTTAGCGGAGGGAGCGGACCTGGAATTCCGGCGTCTATGCCGCCGCCTGTCCCTCCCGAAGCTGCCACCACCACTGGGAAGCAGCCCTGGCACTAACCGGCAGCTGTTGGATACCTGGCACTGTGCAGACCACCCCACACGTGTTTTCCCGTTCGGTGCTCAGGGCGGCTCCAGCACGGAAGGGGTGTTGTTTCCCCCTTTGCAATAAGACCGTGGAGGCTCAGAGAGGGGGGAGACTTGTCAGGCCAGCTAGTGAGGAGGCCAGGTCAGGACTCACGCTCAGGGCCCTCGGACTGCAGAGCCGGCGCTGGCCCGCCCAGGCCCAGCCACCTTCCGGTTAGAGGGCAGCTGCCGTGCAGAGCGAGGCCTGCCCCCCCAACTCCCCCCGTGGGGCGTGGCCACCGCACAAGCTGAGCGCTCCCTGCCCGCTCCCTCCTCTGTCCAGAGGGAGTCCCAGGAGGTGGCTGCCGTGTCCAGCTGGGCCGAGATCCACACGGCAGCCCGGCTGCTGCGGGTGCCGCCCGAGCGCCTGGAGGGGGCTGTCACCCGGAGGGTCATGGTGAGCTTGAGGGTTCTGGGGCGGCAGGGGCCCGACCACACCGCCTGATGGCTTGCCGAGCGCCCAAGTAGGCCTCGGGCCCGATGTACTATGTGCTTGTCCCCCCTGCCTCCAGGAGACTCCCTATGGCCCGGCCTCAAGATCCCTGCCCCTGGAGAGCGCCATCGATGCCAGGTGGCCCCGGGGGCAGGAGGGAGCCGTAGCCTGGCCTGGCACTCTGCCGCACATGGCTCACACACCACGCCCACAGGGACGCGCTGGCCAAGGCCCTGTACTCCAGCCTCTTCTCCTGGCTTCTGGGGAGGACCAACGCGCAGCTGGCCCCGCCCGGCGAGGGAGGCGGCACGGACAACGTCACTGTCGTGGACGTCTACGGCTTTGAGGTCACCCCTGGGGTGGGGGGCCCAGGGCAGGGTGCCCACCTCATCCTGATTATTTCTGGGGACCCCAGCAGCTCCAGCTCTCCTGGTGGGGAGCACCTGTGACCTGTTTGCCTGCCGGGCCCTGAGACATCCTGAGACAGCTGCTCTGTCCGGTCCTGGCGGGGCCGCGGGAAACGTCTGTCCTGCTTGCCCTGCTGGCTCTCGCGGGAGCCTCCTGGGCAGCGGAAGATCAAGGCCCTCGGACGGGCAGCCCACAGCCTCACCTCCCATGCACCCTGACTTTCCATAAGCGCCTCACCTCTTTCCAGAAGGCCCTGCCTCCTGAGGGCGGCAAGGAGGGAGCTACAGCAAGAGGTAGCCCCACTCTGAGTCCCTGGATGGGCCCTGTTCACGGCCCCCCGCTCTCTCCTGGTCTCCAGTGTGTCCTTGGTGACCGTGACACGTGTGTGGGTGTGTGCATGCACACTCTTGTGTGTTTTCGAGCATGCCAGAAATCTCTGTACGAAGCTATAAGACGTGGAGCCTCTGCTGGGCTCACCAGTAAAATGCTAGGAGGCACAGAGGAAGGAGTCTGTAAACCCTACATACAGGAGGACTGTCGGAAGGCTTCCTGGAGGCGGCAGCAGGGAGCCCTGCTTTTGAGGATTGTGGTAGCAGCGAGCTCAGTCCTAGGCACAGGAGCCCTCCAGACCACAGGCTGTCTGGGACCATGGGACCAGGGGCCGGAAGGCTCACACTCCTGCTGAGGCAGAAAGCAGGGGTGTGGGGTCCCAGAGCGGGGCCTGACTGGCTGCGCAGGGCTGCAGCAGCTTGTGTGCGGTCCCAGGGCCTTGGCACTTGACCCTGCAGGCTGCAGCATCAGCCCTGGAGCCCCACCCCTCCCTGGTGCTGGGGAGGATGCAGGCTGTCCTGTGGGAGGGGGTGAAGGGCACCGGGCCTGTGTGCCGGCCCCCCACACCTGCCTGGAGGCTCCTACCGCAGGTGGGTGCCCACCTCACTGCCCTCCTGTCCCCAGGCTCTGCGGGTGAACGGCCTGGAGCAGCTGTGTAACAACCTCGCGAGCGAGCGCCTGCAGCTCTTCTGCAGCCAGACGCTGCTGACCCAGGAGGAGGTGGGGGAGGTGGGGGGCCCGGGCAGGGATGCGGCAGGGGGACACCAGCTATGCCCCAAAACAAAAACCATCTCTGGAAAAGAGAGGGCGCTGCACCGAGAGCCGTACCCCAAAGCCCGCTTGCTGTGGGCTGTCTCAGTCCTTCTGAACCTCAGTTTCCCCATCTGTGCAATGGGAGGGCCATCCCTGCTCTGGCTCAGACGAGGTTCCCCGAGAACCTGGCGGGCTCTGTAAGCAGCCAAGTGCTCGCCGTTCCCAGGAGGAGTGTCGGCGGGAGCTGCTGCCCTGGGTGCCCATCCCCCAGTCTCCGAGGGAGTCCTGCCTGGACCTGCTGGCGGACCAGCCCCACAGCATCCTGAGTATCCTGGATGCCCAGACACGGCTGTCCCAGGCGAGCACCCCGTGGCGGGGACAAGGAGTGGGGGAGCAGTGAGGTGACAGGGCCCGGAGACCCTGCCCACAAACCTTCGGAACGGCTTGGGACGACAGTGGCCACACGGGGTTCGGCCCTGTGCTGGGTGCTCTGGAGCAAGATGTCTGACCTCTCTGAGGTTGCCCGGGTCCTCGCTGCAGAAGGGAGACAGTGGTGCCCGAGGGTTGTGGGGACGGGGCAGGGCTCGTGGGAGGCGGGCGAGGGCCGGTGGGGGGCGAACCTCAGGACCACGGTGCACCCCTTCCTCGAGTCCTCGCTGACGGCCCGCCTTCCACTTGCCCTACCTAACCGCCCCCAGTTCGTCCCCAGCCGCTGCCTTACTGCTACTTTGTAACACCTGTGTCCATGAGCAATTACATTGCATTGTGCTTAGCAATTACAATGTATTTATTCACGGACTCTCCTGAGACAGACTGGACCCTCTTCTGAAGGGTTTTAGCCTATCAGCAGCGGCTGGCACATGGTTAAGGGTTCACTAAGTAAGGAATGAATGAATGAATGAATGAATGAATGTGCCAGGAATTTTCAACCTTTTTTCATCTCGGGGCACACGTACACTAGTGACTAAAATTCTGCAGCACAGGGAAAAAAAATGCATTTTTTGCTGATCTGACCAAAAAATAGGTGTGATTTTGATTCACTCACACCAGACAGCTAATGTTGTGTCGGCTGTGGTCATTTTTGTATTTGACCATCTAAGGGGAGAGAGGTCAGTGCCCCTGACTAAACTAGTCAGGTTTTGCATGTTTAAAAATTCTTGCAGCACACAAGTTGAAAATCGCCGGTCTATTATCACAACACATCATGTGACATTAGTACATAACATGCATTTACTAGCATACGTATTTGAAGTCCCTTCCCAGATAAACCCATGGTGTTAATTCGTAAATGATTCCTTTTCCTGGCCTGCGTCTCGTACGGTCTAGTGAAACGGGTCACCGGTGTCGCTGACGTCTCAGGGCCACTTTGGGGTCAGCAGCACGGCTTCCTTAAAGTCTCCACTCCTCAAGACCACTCTTTTCAAGTCCGCGTTGGGCGCCGTTGACCCGGCCACGGCCACTCCACGCCACGTGTGTTCCCATGCGTGTTATCTGCCCCTCAGCTCCGTTGAATAACCTCTCCTGGGTTGCTTTTCACAAGTATTTTTTTAAATGGTTGAACAAATTTTTGGTTGTGATTTTTTAAAAGATTGTACTTATTTATTTTTAGAGAGGGAAGGGAGGGAGAAAGAGAGAGAGAGAGAAACATCAATGTGTGGTTGCTGGGGGCCGTGGCCTGCAGCCCAGGCATGTGCCCTGACTGGGAATCGAACCTGCGATGCTTTGGTTTGCAGCCTGAGCTCAATCCACTGAGCTCCGCCAGCCAGGGCTTCACAAGTGTTTTTATAAGACGTGTGCAGAAACACCTGTAGTGTTCGCGAGCCGCGCTCCCAGGGGTGATAGCTGGGCCGGTTTTAAAGTGCCCCGCCCCTTTTACACGATTGGATCAGGTGTGTGCTGGCCCAGGCGGTTTCTGCAGGTGAGGTGCTGCTTTCCTCAAACAGCACTTTGTTTTCCAAACAGCCGCAGGGAAAGAGAGAGGCACCCTTGGCAAGGACTCAAATGTGGAGGGACTCTTCCTTCCTGAGGAGGTTGGGGAGACGAGGGGAGCCCACCTCCCGTTCCGCCCTCTGGTGTGTGGGCGCAGGAGGTGCGGCACAGACCTGAGAGCAGCCCTCTCTCCCGGCAGGCCACAGACCACACCTTCCTCCAGAAGTGCCACTATCACCATGGCGACCACCCCTGCTACGCCAAGCCCCAGCTGCCCCTCCCTATCTTCACCGTGCGACATTACGCAGGCACCGTCACCTACCAGGTATCACGGTGAAAGCGGGGACAGACTCCGGGGTGAACTGGTGAGAGCAATTGGTGACCCTGGTGTTTCCTTTTGGATGGTGTCACCTGATGGGTGACAAGGGTGGGTGAGGAGAGGCCCCTTCCAAGGTTTGGCCATCTCGCCCTAGCTGGGCCCCTGGCATCCCCCTGCCCAGTTCTGGGTGAGTGTTAGGGGTGGGGGGAGGGGGTGGGGTTAAGGCCGTGGGACCCTCAGACCAAGAGGAGCAGAGCATGGGACCTGGCCGTGATGGTCTCGGGCATCTCCTCTCCTCTGGCCTCCGTGTCCCTCCTCATCTGCACACGGGGAGGGACTCAGTCCTACACGTGTCATGTGGGTTCAAGGCAGTGACACGGAAATGGCCGGCAGGTGCCCACTGGAGGTCTTTCCTTCACTCTGACGTTCACGGAGGCTGCCCCACCACCCAGGAGGAGAGGCTGAGGGGACAGGGCCTGGTGTAAAGGGCAGGACCCTCCCTGTGACTGGTGTGAGGTGGGGCAAGTCACATAAGGCTTCCTGGAGGAGGTGGCCTGCATTGGCTGTAGAAGGAACAAACACAAACGACCCCAAAGCTACCCAAACAAGAAGCAAAAGGAGTATATGTCCATTATACCTCCAAAAAATCATATCAAAAGAAAAGAAAGAGACACATGGAGAACTAAATAAAACTATGAAACGGTGTTAAAGGCCCCAAAGATGACTTCAGAACCGAGGGACAAACCACATGCATGTCGGGGAGCCCCAGCACTGCTCACTCTTTCCCACGTGATCTAGAAAAGATCACTTTCTGTGATCTTTTTCTGTCTCCACTGCCCATTTCCAGAGCTTTTTCGTCTTCCCAAACAGAAGCTCTGTGCCCATTAAACACCAACCACCCACTGCCCCTTCCCCAGCCCCGGGTAATACCGAGTCTGCTGTCCGTCTCCATAAATTTGCCTATTCCAGGCCTTTCATATACATGGAATGATAACACACACAATACTCTTGTGCCTGACTTGTTACACTAAGCATGCTTCCGAGCCTCATCTGTACTGCAGTACGTGTCAGAATTGCCTTCCTTTTATGGCTGAATAATACCCCATTGTGTGCATGACAGCATTTTTTAAAAATATATGTTATTGATTATGCTATTACAGTTGTCCCATTTCCCCCCTTTATTCCTCTCTGCCCTGCGCACCACCCCCCACCCACATTCCCCGCCCTTTAGTTCATGTCCATGGGTCGTACATGTAAGCTCTTTGGCTTCTCTATTTCCTATACCATTCTTAACCTCCCCGTGTCTATCTTCTACCTACCAATTATGCTTCTTATTCTCTGTACTTTTTCCCCCTCTCTCCCCCTCCCATTCTCCCACCGATAACCCTCCCTGTGATCTCCATTTCTGTGGTTCTGGTCCTGTTCTAGTTGTTTGCTTAGTTTGTTTTGTTTTTGTTTTAGGTTTGGTTGTTAACAACTGTGAGTTTGCTGTCATTTTACTGTTCATATTTTTTATTTTCTTTTTCTTAGATAAGTCGGTTTAACATTTCATATAATAAGGGCTTGGTGATGGTGAACTCAGCTTTAACTTGACCTTATCTGAGAAGCACTTTATCTGCCCTTCCATTCTAAGTGAAAGCTTTGCTGGATAGAGCAATCTGGGATGTAGGTCCTTGCCTCTCATGGCTTCACATACTTCTTTCCAGCCCCTTCTTGCCTGTAAGGTCTCTTTTGAGAAGTCAGCTGACAGTCTCATGGGAACTCCTTTGTAGGTAACTGTCTCCTTATCTCTTGCTGCTTCTAAGATTCTCTTCTTATCTTTAATCTTGGCTAATGTAATTATGACGTGCCTTGGTGTGTTCCTCCTTGGGTCCAACTTCTTTGGGACTCTCTGAGCTTCCTGGACTTCCTGGAAGTCTGTTTCCTTAGCCAGATTGGGGAAGTTCTCCATTATGTTTTCAAATAACTTTCCAATGTGTTGCTCTTCCTCTTCTCCTTCTGGTACCCCTATAACTTGGATGTTGGAACGTTTAAAGATGTCCTGGAGGTTCCTAAGCATCTCATTTTTTTTTATTTGAGTCCTGGTTTCCTTCCCATCACTGTTGGTTGCCTGTACATTTTCTTTCATTTCACTTAGCGTAGCCTTCATTTTTTCATCTAACTTGCAACCAAATTCAACCAATCCTGTGAGCATCCTGATCATCAGTGTTCTGAACTGTGCATCTGATAGGATGGCTATCTTTTCATCACTTAGTTGTATTTTTTCCGGAGCTTTGATCTGTTCTTTCGTTTGGGTCATTTTTTTTTGTCTTGGCACACCTGTTACATAGTAAGGAGTGGATCCTCAGGTATTTACCGGGGCAGGACTACCCACGTAGCTGGGTTGCTGTATGTGGGGGAGGGTCTGAAAGAGAACAGTGGTGCTTGCTCTGCTCTCTGCCGGATTTCCGTCACTTCCCATGCTACCCACAAGCAAAGTGGGCCCTTCTGGTGCTGATTCCCGGTGGGTGGGTTTGTGTATGCTCTAGGACCCCGTGAGTCTCTCCAACGGAGTCTCCTGTGAGGCTGGGAGTTTCTCCCACCACTGCCGCAACCCCCACAGGTGTTTTCAATCGGTGGTTTGAGGCTTTACTTCCCTGACCTGGAGAGCCCTGGGTTGTGTGGTCTGTCTTGCTCCCCAGTTTCTCCTGGTTTATTTGCACACAAATGTGGGGACCAGCCGCCGCCTTGCTGCGAGCCCTCTCTCCTCAGCTGCCCGTCTCCGCCCCTCCTACCGGCCTGGGTGAGTGTTTCTTCTTTGACTCCTTGGTTGTCAGACTTTCATACAGTTCGATTTTCTGTCAATTCTGGTTGTTTGTTGTTTTTAAATTGTGTCCTTCTCTTGGTTGTGCAGGGAGGCACAGTGTGTCTACCTACGCCTCCATCTTGGCTGGAAGTCAGTCTGTTCTTGATATAACAGTCAGGGAGTCTTTTGGGAGAAAGTGTCGGAGGGAGTGAGGATCCGGATGAGGAGGCTCAGCGTGCTGTCTGCCCGCCCTGTGCCCGCTGTGGCTGGGCCAGAGTTGGCGACGGAGCCAGAGCTGTATGATGATGTTCTGTTGACCATTCCTCTGTGGATGGACACGAGTTGTTTCTACCTTTTTGGCTGTTGTGAATATCACCTTGAACACGGGTGTACAAGCATCTGTTCGGGTCTCTCAGTTCTTTTGGGTCTATACCTAGAAATAGAATTGCTGGGTCATATGTTTATATGTTTAATTCTATGTATATGTATATGTGTAATTCTATGTTTATTTATATTTTTAAAGATTTTGTTTATTTTTAGAGAGAGGGGAAGGGAAGGAGAAAGAGAGGAAGAGAAACATCCATGTGTGGTTGCCTCTCATATGCCCCCTACTGGAGTCCTGGCCTGCAACCTAGGCTTGTGTCCTGACTGGGAATCGAACTGGCGACCCCTTGGTTCACAGGCCCGTGTTCAATCCACTGAGCCACACCAGCCAGGGCTCTATGTTTAGATTTTTGAGGAGCCGCCAAATTGTTTTCCTCAGCAGCTGCACCATCTTATGTTCCCACCAGTATGTATGAGGGTTCCGATTTCCCTACATCCTTGCCAATACTTGCAATGTTCTTTTCTTTTCTTTTTTTTTTTAGTATACCCATCCCAGTGGGTGTAAAGTGGTGTCTCATTGTGGTTTTTATTTGCAGTCCCCGAATGACTAATGATGTTGAAAATTTCTTCATATGTTTCTTCTGGACCATTTGTGTAGCTTTGAAGAAATGTCCATGGAAGCCCTTGGTCCATTTTTGACTTGGGTTGTTTTTTTTTCCTGTTGAGTTGTAGGAGTTCTTTATATAATCTGGGTAGTGATCCCTGATGTGGTGTGCAATATTTTCTCCCATTCCGGGGGTTGTCTTTTTGCTCTCTTAATGGCAGCTCGTGATGCCCAGAAGTCTCTGATGGTGATGAAATCCAAGGCAGCTCCTCCGTCCTTTCGTTGTCTGAGCTTCTGGTGTTGCCGAGTCCGATGTCACGGGCTTTTCCCTGTGTTCTCTCCTTAGCGTTTTACGGTTTCAAGGCTTACAGTCAGGTCTTTGATCTCCTCACATTGAGTTAATTTGTACACAGGGTGTGAGGTGAGCGTCCAGTTTTATTGTCTGGCAGATGGATTTTCAGTTTTCCCAGAACAATTTGTTAAGGAGACAGAGGTGGCCTTTTGACTCAGAAGGGCGGGGCTGGGTGACAAAGGGACCGACTGGCTTCTGCACCCAGCCTTCTCTCCTTGGCTTTCCACCCCCTTCCCCGCACTGTCTTTCGCAGGTTCACAAATTTTTAGACAGAAACCGGGATCGCCTCGACCCTGCTGTGGTAGAGATGCTCGACCAGAGCCAGCTCCAGGTGCCCCGCCGCCCCCCGGCCCCCACCCCTCCGCACGCTGTGTCCCCGTTCTGCCTGGACACTCTCGCTCGGGGGTTGCCCTGACCTGGTCTGGACGCCGTGAGCTGGTCCACCCTGACTCCCCGGGAAGGGGGGAGGGGGCAGGCCAGGCTGTGGACGAGCCCTGGAGTCCAGCGGGCTCCGGCCCCTCTGGCCCGCAGCTGGTGAGCAGCCTGCTCCAGGAAGCAGAGGCCCAGCTCGGAGGAGGGCGAGGCACAGCCACACTGGCCTCTCAGTTCCAGCAGTCCCTGGGGGACCTCCTGGCCAGGCTGGGCAGGTGAGAACGATGCCACCCCCCCACCCCGATCCCCCTCGGCCGCACCCAAGGGCAGGGAGTTGGATCGGAGACCGCTTCCTGCCCAGGTGACCCCCTGCACCCATCAGGAGCCGTGTTTACTTCATCCAGTGCCTCAGCCCCAACCCCGGAAAGGTGAGCTCCCCCAGCACCTACCCGGAGCCCGTCCTCCCTGCCCGCCCAGCCCAGCCCAGCCCAGCCCCTCCTCGTGGCCCGCCCTGCGAGGCCCGCAGCCTAAGCCCCCGGACGGACACCAGCACCAATCGGCTCTGTCCCTCGGCACAGCTTCCGGGCCTCTTCGACGTGGGACACGTCTCGGAGCAGCTGCACCAGGCAGGTGTGCTGGAGGCCACCTGCGCCCGCAGCGCTCACTTCCCCGTGCGCGTGCCCTTCCGCACCTTCCTGGCCAGGTGGGGCTCCGGGAGGGGGCGGCCCAGGGCACCTCAGTCAGGGGTGACGAGACTCGGCCTGGGGTTCCTTCCGGGCGAAGGCAGACCCGTTCTCCTGGGGGGCCCTGGGCCTGGCACCCGCCCTTCCTCTGTCCTTTCTCCCCTCTCCCCCATCTCTCTCTCCCCTCTCACTGTTGGCTCTCTGCCCACCCCTCCGTGCCCCCGCGAGTTCATCTCCCCCCCACCTCCACGCCAACAACACTCTCCTGTGTGCCTAGCACACAGTAGGCGCTTCACAAATTGTTGTGGAATGGGGGACTGGATAAAAGACGGTGAAGGGATCGGCCGAAGGACATGCATGCCTGACCTACAGACGCAGACGACAGTGTGGGGGTGGCCACAGGGAAGGGGGCCGCTGGGTGGAGGCGGGCAAAGCGTGAGGAGGAGGGGGACATCTATAATAATGCCGATAATAAAAGTGAAGTAAAAAAAAATACCATCATTGTCCAGTTGCTGGCAGACACTGACGCTGAACAGACACTTCGGGGCTGGGGGTGTCGCACAGCTGTGGAGGGAGGTCCGTGCTGCGCTGGCTGCAACGGTGCCTCTGTCCCACGGGCAGGTTCCGGATCCTGGGGACCCCGGGGCAGGGAGAGTCCTCTGACCGGGAGAGGTGTGGCGCCATCCTGAGCCAGGTGCTGGGGGCTGAGTCGCCCCTCTGTCACCTTGGAGTCACCCAGGTGGGTGGGTGTGTGCAGACGGGTAGGCATGGTTTGGAAAGGGAGAGGGCTGTTCTGGGAGATGGAGTGAGCTTGGGTGGTAGGCGTCCCGGGGCTGGATGGCGCCGGGGAGAGCAGGGGATCTGGCGGACAGGGAGGAGCAGGCTGAGGCCTCAGGAGAAGGGCAGGGAGGGCCCGACCCCCGGCGCCCGAACCCGGCCTGCCTCCAGCCCACGCCTCTGCCCCCAGGTCCTGCTGCGGGAGCCCGGCTGGCGGCAGCTGGAGCAGCACCGCGCCCAGCGGCGCTCCCAGGCGCTGCTCACCCTGCACAGCGGCCTCCGGGCCTACATCTCCCGCCAGCGCCTCCGCCTCCTGCCACGGATTCAGGCTCGCGTGCGGGGGCTCCAGGCCAGGTCCGCAGGGGCGGGGTGAGGCCCTGAGCCTCCTCAAGGTGGTGGGGCAGGGGCGGGGAGACGTAGGTCTCAAGGCGCGTCAGCCTGCCCCAGCGCCATCCCGTCCGCACGGGGCTCTCCTTGACCGCATCACCGCCTACACGCATGCGCCCTCCGCCGGAAGACCCCCCCCAGCCACAGGACGCTGGTGGTCCATCCAGGCCGCCCAGACCTGCAGCCTTGACTCCCTGGGTGTTCTCTTTCTTGGTCTGTTCTTTACCCTGCGGCAAGAATGACCTTTTAAGGGCATAAGTTGGCCCTGGCTGGTGTAGCTCAGTGGACTGAGCACCAATCTGCTGGTTTGATTCCCAGTCAGGGCACCTGTTTGGGTGGCAGGCCAGTCCCCAGTAGGGGGCGCATGAGAGGCAACCGCACATTGACGTTTCTTTCCCTCCCTTTCTCCCTCACTTCCTCTCTCTAAAAATAAATTTTAAAAAAATATATTTTTAAAAAATCATGAATTGGCTTTAGGCCAGACTTGAACACCCCAGGCTCTTGGGACTATCTGGTCCCACGGCCCACCCCCTTCTCACCTAATTAACCCGGTCGCTCTTCCTGTCACCGATCCCGCATCCAGGACGGTGACAGAGGTAGTAGGCAGAAGTGAGCTGTAGAACAAATGGACTCAGGAAACGAGTGACAGGAGCAAACGCAGGGCCCTTGGAGCTCAGGAGAGAGCAGGGCGCAGGGAACGCACCTGGGAGAAGAAGAGGGGGCCGGAGAGGCGGGGGTGCCCCCAGGAGCGCCTCATCTAACAGCTCCGGGCTGACCGCCATCTGTCTCTCTTGGGCCACAGGCCGGCGGCGCAGGGAGGAGGGCAGGGGAGGTGCCCCCAGGCCGGTGGGGAGTCAGACGCAGATAGTAAACCGGCCGCCGGTCACCCCCAAGCTGAGAGCTGAAGCTCTGAGGACAGGCGAGGACAGGGACACCAGGGAGTCTCTGCAGAGGGGGCGCCCATCACCACTATTTCTAGACAGTTCCCATCACTGACAGAAACTGTGACTGCTAAGGGAAACTCCCCGCTCGCCTCGCCCTCCTGCCCCTGGTGGCCTCCAGTCCACTGTCTGTCTCTGTCTGCCCTAGACACTTAGTGTAAGTCGGCTCACCCCGCGTTGGCTTTGACGCCGGGCTTACTGCGCTGAGTGTGACGTTTTCAAGGTTCATCCGCATCATTGCATGTCCCAGAACTTCATTTCCTTTATGTGGCTGAATAGTGTTCCATCGTATGGGTAGACCATATCCGGTGTATCCATCCAGCCTTCAGGGCCCATTTGGGTTGTCTAAAAATAAATAAATGAAAAATCTTTAAAAATTTTTTGATATTTGCCCTGGCTGGCATAGCTCAGTGGATTGAGTGCGGGCCGCGAGCCAAAGCGTCACAGGTTCGATTCCCAGTCAGGGCACATGCCTGGGTTGCAGGCCACGGCCCCCAGCAACCGCACATTGACGTCTCTCTCTCTCTTTCTCCCTCCCTTCCCTCTCTAAAAATAAATAAATAAAATCTTAAAAAAAAAAAACAAAAAGAAAAGCACCAGGAACTGATGGGCATCGCAGGCTTGGCAAGGTTCCCAGTGTGGAGTTCAATTTAAAAAATTTTTTCGATATTTAAAAATAATAATAAACACCCAGGTCTATGACAATCCTCATTTTTACAGATGATGAACCCAGGGAGGTAAAGTAACTTACTGAGTCCACGGTGACTAAACAGGAGGGGAATGAGCCTGGGTGGTCAGCGCCAGAGTCCAAGGTCGTGATCCCCTGCGCTGGGCTGCTTCTCAGATGACCCCTCCTTTCCAAGGGTCCTGCCGCCCCTTTCCTGTTGCTGCCAATGAGCTTCCGGGGCTTCACTGGCCTGGGGTCAGTTTTTACATTCACATCTTGGCTTGGAGGACTCGGGCGCCCAGGGGTGTAAGTTCGGACCCCTCCCACCCCCCTCCTGGCCTCCAGGAAGCGGTACCTCCGGCGGCGGGCGGCGCTGGGACAGCTGAACACCCTCCTGCTGGCAGCCCGGCCCCTGCTCTGGAGGCGGCGGCGCAGACTGCAGGTGAGGCCTTTGCCACACTGGCAGCTGAGGGCAGAAGCCAAGCCAAGCACTTTGCTGGCCAAGCCAGCCGGGTCCTGACAGCGTCCACCCTCCTAGCCCACCCACACAAGGTCAAGGCCTCAGGCCATTGGTGCTGGAGCTCTTCCCAATTCTGTCTGCCTGGCCAGGGTAGGCCGAGGGAGGTAGTCGCCTTCCTCCATCCCTGCCCACCCCTCAGGCCCACACTGTCCCCTCCCTGCCTGAGGTGGCTTCCCGTCCCTCCAGACCTGCTCCCCTCTCTTCCCTGATGACTCCAATTTGAGGGCCATAAAGCAGCTCAAAGGTCGGTGCCCACATACTGTCCCCTTCCTCGGCCCCTCCCTGGATGGACTTTGTCCCCGGGACCATTCCTACCCTCCAGCCTTCCTCCTAGTGCCCTGACAGACAGGCGGTGACCCCGCTGCAAAGGCGGGTGAGAGCTCCGGAGGGCTGGGCGCGGGCAGCGAGTCCCTCTGGGTCTGTGCTGGCTCCTCTGCCCTGTGCTGGAGCCAGAGGGGGCCGGAGGGGGCTGCTGAGCAGCTGTCCTGGGGAGGAGGCTTGAGGGGGCTCCTCTCGGGGACATCAGCTCTTCCTGCGCCTCCCTGACAGCTTGGGCTTTGGAGCGGCTGGCACGGCAGCGGGTCCTCCGAGAACGCGCCAAGCATGGTAGGTGGCTGGCAGCGAGACGGTGTTACTGGGCTGTGAACCTGACGATTCTGGCGCACCCTGAGGGGGCATGGGGCCGGTCCCTCAGGGTGCTGTTGGTGTTCCCCGGAGGGCTCCTGAGGCCCTGTTAGGGCGAGGGTCCGGGGCCTTTGGAGGGGAACTTCACAGACCTGGGGTGAGGAGGGGCACGGGCCACCTGCACCCCCCACCCTGCCTTAGTGTCTGGCCAATCCCTCCTCCCTGACAGGAGCTGGGGCGCCTGGAGATCCCGGCCGAGCTGGCCGTCATGCTGAGGACAGCGGAAGGTGAGTCTGGACTGATGTCACTCTTCCCATGACCCCTCCCCAAGTCCCTCTAAGCGTGCAGGGAGGGTCTGTCCCTGCGGTCCCTCCCACTGATGCTCCGGGCTGCCCTGAGCTCCCTCTGCACCGGGCGGGGGGCTGACGGTGAGGGCTGGGGGCGGTGCCAGAGCCAGGCACATAACCTGGGCATTTCTGGGCCGCCTCCGGGCGCCACTGCAGGCCGCCAGCACACTCTGGCCCAGAGCATCACCGAGGCCAAGCCCCCGGAAGTTCCTGCTCGGCCCAGCCTGACCCTCCCGCCGGACATCGACCAGTTCCCCTTCTCCAGCTTCATCCCCACCGGCTTCCAGGTGGGCCCCTAGGCCTCCGCCTTCCTGGCTGACTGCTCCAGGTCTCCAGATGTTAGCCCCTGCCGGGCAGAGGTGGCCCGGTCCTGCAGCTCCCCAGCCTGTCACTAGGGACCGGGGCGGGGGGGCAGTGGCGGGGGCGTGGGCACAGATGCATTGCTCGGAAAATATTCGTTGACCCTACATGACTCACTCTCTAGTGTTACTCAGGTCTGTGACGCCACGCCTGTGTTTCTCCTGTGGCAGCGCCCTGCTGGCGAAGTCGTGTTGTCAAAGCACTCGCGGTGGCCAGGGACACTGGCCGGGCTGCAGTGCCAGAGTCAGAATGGCCTGCAGAGTGAGGTCTCAGTTTTGTTAGAAACAGCAGCGGGGGTGGCGGTGGCTGTATCTGTGCAGAGAAAGCAGGGCAAGGAAGAGAGAGGCTGACGCACCAGCTGGTTGTGTTGGTGGAATGTTAGTGGTGGTTTTTATCCTTTATCCTTTTCCATGTTTTCTGAGGTTTTTTTTTTAAGGTTTTATTTATTTATTTTTAGAGAGAGGGGAAGGGAGGGAGAAAAAGCAGGAGAGAAACATCAGTGTGTAGTTGCCTCTCATGCGCCCCCCACTGGAGACCTGGCCTGCAACCCAGGCATGTGCCCTGACTGGGAATTGAACCAACAACCCTTTGGTTTACAGCCCACGCTCAGTCCACTGAGTCACACCAGCCAGGGCTGTTTTCTGAGTTTGCCACGTGCACGGGCATCCGTGTGCTAATTGGAATAAGCAAGGAAGCTGCATTTGAAGGGGGGTTGTCACACCAGTCCTTCCCTCTCCCTCTCCCTCTCCCGGGGTGCCGTTCCCATGGGCTCCCCAGGGCCGCCCTGCTCAGGCCCTGTGCTGTACCCTCCTTCCTTGCAGGAGCCGTCTCTGCCCACCCCTGGGCAGCTGCTGGCCAGGCCCCTGACGCGGCTGGTCGGCGAGACCCCTCAGCATGCCCTGGATATCAACAAGGTGGTGAGTGGCCCAGCGGGGAACGGGCAGGGAGGGCCCGGCTCCGGGGCCGGCTGGGACCTCGCAGCCCGAGCGCCCTGCGCCTGCTCCCTGTGCGTCTGCAGATGCTGCGGCTCCTGGGGGAGGAGGCCCTGCTGCCCTGGCAGGAGCAGGTCATGGGCACGTACCTGGTGAGGCAGGGGCAACGCCGGCCGCCCCTGCGGGACGAGCTCTTCAGCCAGCTGGTGGCCCAGCTCTGGCGCAACCCCAGCGAGCAGCAGAGCCAGCGCGGCTGGGCCCTCATGGCCGTCCTGCTCGGCGCCTTCCCCCCTCTGCCCGCCCTGCAGAAGCCGCTGCTCAAGTAAGGGGCCCGGTGGGGGTGCAGGCCCCCGGGGGCGGGGGGGTCGGCGGGCCGCCCCACCCCCACAGCCACCCTGTGCTGTCCCCCAGGTTTGTGTCTGACCAGGCCCCCAGTGGCATGGCAGCGCTGTGCCAGCACAAGCTGCTGGGGGCCCTCGAGCAGACGCAGCTGGCCCCTGAGACCACACGTGCCCACCCCCCGACCCAGCTCGAGTGGACGGCCGGACGGCGGCGGGGCCGCATGGTGCTGGACGTCTTCACTTTCAACGGTGATGCCCGCCTCTGGCCCAGGCCTCCCGGGGCCCACAGCGGAGCCAGTCCTGCCCCCTGCCCCTTCCTGGACGCCCCCCTCCCTTCTGTCCCGTCCTGCTTTCAGACCCCCCTTGGGGACAGCAGCGCCTTCCCGGCAGGGCTAACCCCACCGTCTCTCACTCTCGGTCCGCACCCCTCGCCCCACAGAGGAGTGCTTCTCGGCGGAAGTGGAGTCCTGGACCACGGGGGAGCAGCTGGCCGGGTGGATCCTGCAGAGAAGGTGTGTGGGGCCTGGGGGGGAGGGTGCAGCCAACACTGACCGCTGCCTGCCCGCCCCCTGCCCCCCGTCCCCCTCAGCCCCCCAGCCCGCTCTCCCACTGAGCACCCCCTGCGGCTGCTCCCTCAGGCCCAGGGCCAAAGCCTGCTCCCTGCCGGGCGCAGGGCCACGTGGCCAGGGTCCAGACAGTCGATTCAAGATGGGAAGCAAGGGAGGCCCGGGTCCCCTGCTAGCTGGGTAAACGAACAAATGTGTGAACCAGAGCTGACGTGTAAGGGTCGGGGGCGTGAGTCGCAAATAAGGAAACCCGCTGAGCAAAGGGGATTCCTCACCCAGCGACCCGTCCCCTTCTGGGGGCCTGCGAGCCCTCCCCCACGGCCACCTGCCCGGCTGGCCACACCCCTAATGCGCGCCCCTGTCCCATCCAGAGGCCTGGAGGGCAGCCCCCGTGGCTGGTCCGTGTCCCTGCATTCCGGGGACTCCTGGCAGGACCTGGCTGGCTGTGACTTCGTGCTGGACCTGATCGGCCAGACTGAGGACATGGGGGACCCTGCGGGTCCTTGCGACTACCCCATCACCCCCCAGAGCTTGTAGGTGCCGCCTCAACACCCCAGTTCCCAGCCTGCTCCCGTCCCTCTCCTGACCCCCACACCACACCCTGGGGTTTCCAGGAGCCACCACAGACCCCCCCCCCCCCCGACCTAAGCCTCCTTCCTCCCTCTCTGTGGAGACAACCCCCACAGCAGCCTGTTCACCGCCCTCAGCCTAGGCACGGGCCCAGCCCAGGGACGCGCTTAGCTGGGCCACTCTGTCCTGCAGGATTAAGGACATCCCTCCCGCCCCTGGTGTCCAGGCCCCCTCTCTGTTCCCAGGTCCTCCTCTAGGTCCAGCCCCGACACTACCCAGCAGGGGCCACACAGGTAAGGCTGGGAGTGGGCACCCTGAGGCTGGCAGAGTGCTGGGAATGGGGGTGCTGGGAATGGGGGTGCGGGAGGCCCCGTGCCCCAGACTGCTAACACGGACCCTCCTCCGGCTCTGCAGGCGAGTCCCAGGCCGCAGGGAGCCTGGACAACTACCTGGACGACATCTTCCAGCCCGTCCTCTCCCCGGGCCTCAGTGTGAGCAGTCAGCACCCCCCGGCCCGTCCCACCTGCGCCCCTGCCCCACTGCGGCCTCTGCTGCCCCTCCCTCCCCTCTCTCGGCCCTAGCTCTGTCCAGGACCGTGTGACCTGTGACCTCTGCCCTTCAGGACCTGGAGCAGGGCAGGGCTCTGAGCAGCCGCATGAAGGGCGGGGGCGCCATGGGGCCCATGCATCAGGGAAGCTACCCTATGGGTGAGTGTGAGCCCCAGCACCCACCCAGGGGCTCCCTGGCCCAGAGGCCCAGGTGGGCATTGCCTGGCACCCCCAGGTCTGGGGTCAGAGCTCTAGCCGGCACCCTGGGCCTGTATCCTTTGCCTGGGGGTGGAGGGAGGTGGTCCGTGGGCCCAGGTAGAGACCAACCTTGGAGGGCCCTGTTCCATCAGCATACCCAGGGATGATGCAGATGCCTGGGTACCAGCCAGCTATGATGCCGCCACCCATGCCCATGATGCCAGCAATGGGCGCAGTCCCTGCCATGCCAGGTAAGGCTGGGCCAGGTAGAGCCTGGGGGAGGGAGGGTCCTGCCCAAGGCCCAGAGGGCACGGTGGGCTGAGAGAGGGCTTGGAGCCTGGCCACGGTGCTCACCTGCCCCGCGCACCTGCCCCCCGCAGCCATGGTGGTGCCGCCACAGCCACAGCCGCAGCCCCCACTTCCCAGCGTGGACGTAAGGCAGCTGGCGACGCAGCAGCAGAACTTCATCAACCAGCAGGCGCTGATCCTGGTGAGGGTGGGCGGGGTGCCCAGGTTGCCTAGTGGGGACAGGTCTCCGGGGCAGTGCCAGGCCAGCTCTTACCTGGCCTCCCGCCCCTCCCGCTCCTCCCGCTCAGGCCCAGCAGATGACCGCCCAGGCCATGAGCCTGTCCCTAGAGCAGCAGACACAGCAGCGCCAGCGCCAGGCCCGGGCAGCTCCGGCCGTTGCCCCCAAGCCCAAAAAGCCCCCAGCGCCCCAGAAGGAGCCGGAGTTGGAGCCGGAGCCGGAGCCGGAGCCGGAGCCAGAGCCGGTGGGTGCCTGCCTGCAGGTGAGGAGTGGAGGCCAGGCAAGGGGCAGGCCCGGGGTGGGGCACAGGCTCCGGGCCTGCAGGGCTGAAAGACGCAGGATCGGGGCTGGGGGTGGGAAGATGCAGAAACGGTGCCGTGGGGCCCCAGTGCCAGGGACCCCAGGGGCTCACTGCAAGCCTGGTGGCTGGGCTGGCGGGGCTGTTCCCTCACTTCCCCTTCCTGCCAGCACACCTCGGAGGAGGCCCCGCTGGGTAAACACAGGCCCAAGAGCTTCCAGCAGAAGCGGGACTATTTCCAGAAGATGGGTGAGGACACTCGGGGTGACGAGCGCATGCGGACGCTCGGTCCCTGCCCCAGCCTGGCCAGGGACGGCGGGGTGCACCTGCTCCCCTGGGTCTGCGTGGCCTGCCCAGGAGCACGGAGGGGCAGGCCAGGTGGAGGGTGGCAGACGGGGTCGTCTGGGCACCTACAGGGCAGCAGCCGCAGAGCAAGATGAAGACGGTGAGGCCTCCACCCAAGGTGCAGATCCCCCAAGGGGAGGAGCAGGAGGAGGAGGAGGAGGAGGAGGAGGAGCAGGAGGAGCCCCGTACAGGTGGTGGTGGTGGTGGGGAAACTGGGGGTGGGGCGGGGAGGTGGGGGGGTGCTGGCCCTTGGGTGAGGCACAGGGTCTCACATGCTTCCTCTCCTCCGGGTCAGGGCCATCCCCTCCCGTGCCCCAGCCCCGGGTCATGAAGAAGCCCCCACCGCCAGGCGGGGCCAAGGAGGCACTGAAGGCTGAGGCCGCGCCAGCCCGGGAGGCGGGGCCTGCACGCGGCCCCAGGCCCGCACCGGGCCGCCCACCCACGCCCAGCAGGGAGATTGGGAACATCATCCGCATGTTCCAGAGCCGCCCAGGCCCCGTGCCTGTGCCCGTGCAGCCATCCAGGTGGGCCCTGGGGGCGCGGTGGGTGCCCTGCCCGCTCCACAGGGAGTCAGTCACCCTGTGGACTCCTGACCTTTTCCTTCCCGCAGGAAGCCTTCCCAAATTTTCCAGAAGAAAAACACCCCCAAGGACGAGGCTCTGGCCAAGCTGGGGATCGCTGGCGCCCACGCACCCTCCTCGGTGAGGCCGGTTCTGTCCCAGCCGGGGCAGGGCTGCTGTGCCCCAGAGGCCCGGGGCTCTCAGGGGTCAACTTGGCCTTCTCCCTGGACACAGCTGGTGACGTGTGCATTCTCCGTGCCTCCACAGGTGCCGACCCCCAGCCCAGAGAAGGGCCCCCCGCCGGCGGTGGCCCCTAAGCCCAAGACCCCCTCCAGGTTGCGGGCCTCCGACTCCATCAAGAAGAAGCAGGGGCCACTGCAGGAGCTGTTTGGCCAGAACCCACCCATCGCCCAGGCGCCCCCACCTCCACCAGTGCCCCCGCTGCCTCCGCCGGAGGACTTGGGAACCCCTGCGGCAGTGCCCCGCGGTGAGGAACCTCATGACCCCGGGCGGTGGCGGGCCTCCTGAGGGGCCAGGATTCCCAGCAGCCTCTTGGCACTCGTGGCTGAGGCCAGCTGCCCCCGCGTCTGGACTTTGGAGCCAAGGAGCCCAGGCTTCCGCGTTCCCGCCCAGGGCAGGGCTTGGGAACCCCGACGGGCACCGAGGGGCTGTCCTCAGGACAGAGCTGACAGCGCTGTCAGAAACGTCTTGGCCCTGCTGACGTGGTCAGGGAGGGCCCCGACACAGGGACGGTGGGGAAAGATGGAGGCAGGAGGTGGGGCTGTGGGCGGGGACCAGGCAGTGGGCCCAGAGCACAGGGGGAGGCCTTGGAGGGTCCCTGGGAGCCGTGGATCTTCTCTTCCAGAGCCGGTCATTCCGCCTCTGGCCGCCCCTCACCCGGAACGCCCTCTGCCAGGCCGGACGGAGCCCTGGGGGGACGAGGGCCCCCGCACCCAGCTGCTCTCGCCCTCCGGCAGCGTGTGCTTCTCCTACGCCAACGCGCCCTGGAGGCTGTTCCTGCGCAAGGAGGTGAGCGCGGGAGCGGCCGAGGCCTGGCCTCTCTTTGGGCTGGGGGGCTGGCGATCTCTGGGGCCCCCAGCCGGGGGCTTCACCATCTGCTCCCCAAACGCAGGGAGCTGCCACGCCCTGACCCGCCTCCGCAGGCCGGCGTCCTCTCTGGCCTGGGAGGCAGAGGCCCGGTGGGAAGGGGCTGGGCAGGGGCGCCATGTCCTCTCTCGCTCTCCCTTGCCCTCCTCCAGGTGTTCTACCCCCGGGAGAGCTTCAGCCACCCCTACAGCCTCAGGCTCCTCTGTGAGCAGGTGAGAGCTCCCCGCACCTGCAACAGGTACAGACAGGCCGCACACAACCTGGGCACTTGCTGCGTTTCAAGCCCCGCCCCCTCCACGTAACCCTCACAACACCCCTGAGAGTAAGGGCCCCGATTGGCCCACCACGCGGACTGAAAGTCGTGTGCCCAGCACCCAGCACCCAGCACCCAACACAGGAGGCTCTTCCTGGTGCACGTCCCTTTGCCACCTTTGGCTGCCCCAGGACTGCGCCAGCCCCCCAGATCTCCAGGGGCCTCCCCCAAGTGCTGCTTCCTCGGGGAAGCTTCTTTCCGCTGCCCAAGGAACAGCAGGCAGCTGGGGGAGGCAGGTGGGGGCCGTGGCGGCCAAGGGAGGCCCTGGGCTTGGAAACCCCACTTCCCTCCATGCTCCACCTGCCCCACGGGCACCCCAGCTTTTCCTCCGTGCGTGACTGCTTCTGGGATGGTCCCTGGCCTCGGGACCTGGTGGTGACCCCCCGGCTCTGACCCCAGATCCTCAGGGACACCTTTTCCGAGTCCTGCACCCGGATCTCCCAGGATGAGCGGAGCAAAATGAAAGACCTGCTGGGTAGGGTCCCGGGACCCTGCAGTCGGGCCGCTGCAGGGGGGCTGGGGGCCGGGGGCTGGGCCTGCTGGAGGGAGGGAGCAGACTCTGGGGTCCCCCCTGTGAGGGAGCCTCAGGACCGTCGGGGCCACTCCTTCCCCGCAGGAGACCTGGAGGTGGGCCTGGACTCACTCGTCGCCGCTGAGGACAATGTCAAGAAGCGCATTGTGGTGGCCGCGCGGGACAACTGGGCCAATTACTTCTCCCGCATTTTCCCCGTCTCGGTCAGTGAGGCAGGGGGGTAGGGCTGGGCATGGCGGCGCCCCAGTTGGGACCCCCCCCTGCCCCCCGCACACGGCCCGGCCCTTCTGCAGCAGGGACCAGGGGGTGGGGGTGGGGTGGGCCCCAGTGGGAAGACAAAGGCATCGTGGATGACGAGGGGGACCCAGCAGCCTGTCTGTGACCCCCCCCTCCTCGCAGGGTGAGAGCGGCAGCAATGTGCAGCTGCTGGGCGTGTCCCACCGGGGGCTGAGACTGCTCAAGGTGGCCCACGGCCCCGGCACCTGCTCCCAGCAGCTGAAGACTCTCCGGTCCTACAGGTGAGCCCGGGCTGTGCCGGGGGGCGGGGGGGGCGTGGCTGGGGGTGAGGAGACGGCCCCCAGCTCACGTCCCCACCCCGGGCACAGCTTCGCCGAGGTGCTGGGCGTGGAGTGCCGCGACGGCGGCTGCGCCCTGGAGCTGACGCTGAAGAGCGAGCAGCTGGTGCTGCACACGGCCCGCGCAGGTGCCATCAAGGCCATGGTCGAGCTCTTCCTGCGGGAGCTCAGGAAGGCAAGCGTGGGCCGCGTGGGGAGCTGGGCGGGGAGGGACCTCCGCCCCACGCTTCCCAGTGCCCTGTCCAGGTCAGCCGGTCTTGGGGCTGTCGGCCAAGCTGCCTGGGGTGGGACGAGGCTGCTCTGGCTGGGTCCCTGCGATTCTGGGGAGTTTAGGGGGGAAGGAGGCCGATGGTGGGGGGAGCAGACCGAGCAGCAGCTCCCTGGCAGCCGCGCTCACCCTCCCGCCTGCAGGACTCCGGCTACGTCATTGCCCTGCGGAGCTACATCACCGATGACCGCAGCCTCCTGAGCTTCCACCGCGGGGACCTCATCAAGCTGCTCCCGGTGGCCCATGTGGAGCCGGGTATCTCCGGGGGCCAGGGGGGCACTGACGCGGGGAGGGTGGCAGGTGAGCGAGCCTCCGGGGGGCAGTGGGGCCCGGTGGGTGAGGCCACCCTCGCTCTCGCCTTCCAGGCTGGCAGTTCGGCTCCACCGGGGGCCGCTCGGGGCTCTTTCCCACTGACCTGGTGCAGCCGGCGCCCGCCCCGGTCCTCTCCTTGCTGGAGCAGAGGACTGACCGGCCCAAGAGTCAGCTGCGGAGCAGAGAGCCCAGCCCAGCTCCCAGGGAGGTGAGGAAGACAGGAGGGCAGTGAGGACCGCTCTGCCGCCCTCTCCCAGTTTCTGGCCTTGTCTGCCCAGCAGGACTGCGAGCTCCCTGTGGCCAGGGCCTGTGCTGCCTGCCCCTCCCCGCCCCGTGCCCCTTGCTTAGTTCAGTGCTGCCCTAGAAGATGCTCAATAAAAAGCTCCTGACTCTCCCGACTCCTGGTGGTGTGGTCACTGCAGCTGCCCTGCCTGCTGCTCCAGGCTTGTGCCGGGGCGGGGCTGGGCGGGGGCCCTGGACAGGCCGGTGGGCACTCGGGTGGCACCAGGTCTCCTGTGCTCCCAGGGCCCCGCTCGCCCCCGGAGCCGGGCACACAGCGAGAGCTCGGAGACCACCTCTGGCCCGTCCGCCTCACCGTCCACGGACCCCCACAAGTACAGCATGCAGGAATTTGCCCTGAAATACTTCCGGAAGCCCCCGGCCTTGTGAGTGCCCCGGGCCCACCTGTACGCTGGTCTGTCTTCAGTTTCCCGGAAGTGGGCTTCCCTGTTCGGGACCACCAGGCTGCAGCCTGGGGTGGGGCGGAAGGGCCGGACAAACGAGACTGTGTTCCTCTCTGCTCCCCTCCCAGGCCTGACCAGACTGGCAGGGGTGCTAATGAGAGAACCGTGGCCAGCCTGGTGCAGTACACCAAGGTAGGGAGACAGGCGGGGGAGGGCGGGCCGGTGGGCCTGCCCTCTGGCCCCCATGGCCCCCAGACCCACAGCCCGGCCCCTCTGGCTCCAGGACCCCATCCAGGAATCCCTCATCAGCCTCAGTGACGAGGGCGTGAGCAGGCAGGCCGTGGAAAGCTTCCAGGGTGAGTGGCCGACCCGGGTCCCATGCCCGTGGTGCCTCGGGCATCTGGGAGCCTTCCCTCGAGTTTGCCAACTCAGGGCAGCTCACGGGTGGGTCCTGTAACCCCACGGCCTTCACTCACTTCTATTCCCACCCAAGGGGCGGTGGGGGTGTGGGGTCTGGGCCAGAAGGCAGCGGCCGGCCCAGCTCCATGTGCCGTGTGGGGTGCAGGCCCCCGAGGAAGCTCTCTGAGCTCCGCTTCCCCGCTGGGAAAGCTGCGTCTGCCGCTCTGCGCGGGGAATGTGCATTTCGAGAGCCGGACACCGGGTGCCGGGGAGAGCCCCGTGTGGGGACAGCGTGAGCCAGGGCCGGGCCCCCAGCCCAGCTCCCCACACTTCTCGTCCCGCCTGCAGCTCTGATGCAGTTCATGGGGGACCAGCCGAAGCCCCGGGGCAAGGACGAGGTGGAGCTCCTCTACCTGCTGCTGAAGGTGAGCAGGAGCCGCGTGCGCTGGAAGCCGGGGGGAGACACCGGGAGCCCCGAGGGCGAATCCCTGGCCTGAATAGGAACCCCCTGCTTTCCCTGGTCACTGTTCATTAGCATCACCCACAAGTGTTTACTGAGCACCTACTGCGTGCTGGGGGCGTGGCAGCGAGCCAGGAAGGTCCCCAGGAGCTGACAGCCCAGTGGGAGAAGGCGGTCAGGGAACCACAGCGCCCGCGCCGGGGAGTGTGTGGGGGGGGGGGCCGGGGGAGGGGGCCGCCGCAGATGAGAGGGTGAGACGCAGCCCAGGGAGCTGGGGGAGAGGAGGATGTAGCCCACCGGGCACAGTGGGTCCGGGTCCTGGCAGGCCTGGTGGGCCATTGTCAGGACTTTGATCTTTTTAAAGAGACAGAAAACGACGGGAGGATTTTGCAGAGAGATGTGGCTTACGTTTGCTGGGGACCCCCTAGCTATCCTGGGGGCATCAGGGCAACAGAGGTTATTGCAATGACCCCCGGTGAGAGGCGGTGCGGGCGCTGGCCAATAGGTGGCAGCAGAGGGCGGGGGACTCAGAGCAGCAGTCCCCTTTGCTAAGGGAACCTGAGGCCAGGCTGGTGCAGGTCGGGACCGCTGGAGGGGGGACCGCTGGAGGGAGGAGCCTGGAGCCTGGACTTCCAAGGGGCGGGCCTGGCGTCCCAGGGGCGAGTCTCAGCTGGACGCAGGCACGGCAGACCAGGAGGCCAAGGAGCCAGTAGGGACAGAGGTGACAGGGCAGTGCGGTCCTTAGAGGTCAAAGAAGCAGGTGGAGACAGTGATTTACTGATTTTTAAAAAAGATTTTATTCACTTTCAGAGATAGGGGAAGGGAGGGAGAAACACCGATGGGTTGCCCGCAACGGGGGCATGTGCCCCGAGCAGGAATCAAACCAGTGACCTTTCGGCTCACGGGCGGGTGCTGGCCCCACCGGCCAGGGCTGCAGACAGTGATTCCGAGTGACCAGCTGTGCAGACACTGTCACGCTGAGATAGAGACAGAGAGGTGGCCGCCCGGCTGTCACCCTGACACGGCCCCCAAGCCCACAGCCATCGGCAGGGTCTCTTTGCCCCTGACGTCAGACCTCGCACCGTGCCCCCCCCCACCGCCCTCTGCCTGTCCCCGCGGCCCCTCCCCAGCCACCGGCCCTTACTGTCCCCACAGCTGTGCCAGGAGAAGGAGAACCTCCGAGATGAGATCTACTGCCAGGTCATCAAGCAGGTCACAGGACACCCCCAGCCGTGAGTGTGGGGGCTGCTGGGCCGGGCGGCGGGCAGCCGGCGGTCAGGGCCTGGCAGCCTGAGCCCAGCCCTCTGCCCTGCAGGGACCCCTGTGCCCGAGGCTGGAGACTCCTCAGCCTCCTCACCGGCTTCTTCCCCCCATCCCCCACGCTGCTGCCCTACGTGACCAAGTTTCTGCAGGACTTAGGCCCGAATCAAGGTGCTTATGGGGGGGGGCTTCCAGGCTGGGGCTCGGCTGCTTGGGGAGGGGCTTGGAGAAGCCTGTGACCGCCAGCCTCGCCTCTCTCTGCAGAGCTGGCCCGCAGCAGCCAGGAGCACCTGCAGTGCACGGTCAAATACGGCGGGCGCCAGCAGCTGCCGTCCCCGGGCGAGATGCAGGCTATCCTGGTACTGGGGGTGTGGGCAGCTGGGCGTTCTGGGTCTCCCTCGGGGCTGGGGAGCTGGGGCCTCTGTCCACGGTGGACCGACCCTGCCCCACCCTGTCCCCGGCCCTGGCAGAAAGGGAAGGTGGACCGCCTGCTTCCCATTCACCTGCCCGGAGGCCTGAGTTACAAGACCAACATTTCAACATTCACTGTGAGCACGGGGCCGCCAGAGAGGCGGGGGACAGGCGGGGAGGCTTGGGCATGGGTCCTGGGCCCCCCAGCCCCCCCCCGTCACGGCGCTGCCCCCGTGCCCAGGTGGCAGCAGAGGTGCTGGAGGAGATGTGCGGGCAGATGGGCATCACGGACCCCAAGGAGGTGCAGGAATTCGCCCTCTTCCTCATCAAAGGGGAAGGTAAGCTCCTCGACGCGGCCGAAGGGCGCCAGGCCAGGCCCTCCGGGTGCCCATGGGTGGGCAGTTCCCACGCCGAGGCTGGTGGGGCTGCGGAGGGCTGGCGGGGCTGCGGAGAGCAGGCCGCCCACTGGGGCTCCCCTCGCAGGCAAGCTGGTGCGGCCCCTGCGGCCTCACGAGTACCTCAACAACGTGGCGGGGGGCCCGGACGCCAGCCTGCACAGCCGGCGGCTCAGCTGGGAGACGCCCCTGCACTTCGATAACCCGACCTACATCGGCGCCCACTACAGCCAGGTAGGTCCGCCCCACGTGGCCCTGGCCCGCGAGCGCCAGCGCACCCCTGCCTGCGTGGGAGACCTCCCGGCCTCCCTCCCCACAAGGAAGAGGGATGGAGGCGGGATCTGGGGGGCTCTAGGGGGGCCCAGCCGCCCGTCACTGCTCGGCCCGCAGGTGCAGCGGGACTACCTGCAGGGGAAGCTGCCGGTCGGCACCCAGGCCGACGCCCGTGTTGCCAGGCTGGCCGCCCTGCAGCACCTCAGCAGGGCCCAGGTGGCGCCCCCGTCAGAGTGAGTGTGGGCGCGGCCCCAGCCTCCTGCCACTCCTCCGGTCCCACCCCAAGGGCCCCTCCTTCAGCCCGCAGCCCGAGGTCAGGGCCACTTGGTCCGTACCCTTCTCGGCCCTAAGCAGATGGGCCCGGAGCTGGGGAGGCTGGGCACGCCTCTCCTCCCCACCCCAAGCTTGAGGGCAGAGACACCTTACCTGTGTGCCGCTCCTCAGTCTCACCCACGGCAGCTGCCGGCCCACTTACCCGCCACCCACCACCCACCGTGCGCCCAGCCCTCACTGACCTGGCTGTGTCCTAGGCAAGACCTGTGGGCTTACTTGCCGAAGCCGCTGAGAGGTCAGGTGGGCGTGGCCACCGCAGGGAGCCTGATGGCTCGGGAGCTGAGGCAGCTGCAGGGGTGCAGCCCCCACGAGGCACAGATTGGCTTCATCGGTGGGTCTGGGGCGCACGGGCTGCTGGGGAGGGGGCAGGAGTTAGGAGGCCCCGGAGGGAAGGGGTGAGGGCGGAGGGGGCTGAGAAAGCCCCTCTACCTTCTGGCCCCCTCACCCGACCTAGGGGCCGATTAGGGAGGTCACTGAGCCCCACTGGCCAGAACTGCCACCATATGCACCCCCCCCCCCCGCCTCCCCAGAGGCCGTGAGCCAGCTGCCCCTCTTCGGCTGCACCGTCTACGTGGTGCTGCGCTCGAGCCAGCAGACCCTGCCTGGGCCCAGCCTCCTGGGGCTGAACCGCCAGAGCCTCATCCTCATGGACCCCAGCTCCCAGGTGGGCCAGGCCCCTGCGCCCCTCCTCCCCTCCACCCCGCAGCCTTCCCTGGGAAGGGCTGAGCTCTGTGTCTCTGCCGCCCCCAGACAACGCACTGCTCCATCGCCCTGAGGGACCTGCGCCAGCTCCACCTGCTGAGCCCCCTGGATGAAGAGGGGCTCCCTGGCCTGGAACTCAACTACCGCTCCACCGACAGCCCCCAGACCATCTGGTTTGAGCTGCCACAGGTGAGCGGCCCGGGGCCCCCACCATCCCGGGAAGCTGGCTTGCCGGAGCGCGGGCGCAGGCCGACGCCCCCCCGCCCAAGTGCGCCGTGGGCACAGCAGAGGTGGGGGCCGGCGGGGAGCCCTGCCCTCACCTGCCGGTGCCCCGCAGGCCCAGGAGCTGAAGCACACCATCGCCTACCTGCTGGACGGTGGCACCGAGTCCCCTTAGCGGCCGGCCTCAACCGAGAGGAGGGGCGCGGGGGTGGAGAGGAGGAAGGAGCCTCTCCCCGGACCAAAACCCATCCGGACGGTCTCCCTCGAGCGCTGTCGGGTCACTCTAACCTAGACGTCCCAGCTCGGCTGTTCCGCACAGCACGGCCCAGCCGGCCCACACGGAGGCCCCAAGCGGGGGCTGCCACCGTGACCTCAGCTGGGAGAGAGCAGCGGCACGGATCCTTCTTGGGGGCGCGTCGGAGGCTGTAGGAACTCGGCTCGGGCAGCTGGTGTCGCCCAGGCCGGGGGAGACGCCCACCGGGCCCCAGGTCTAAACGTCAGCACGAGCGCAGACCTGGGCGAAGCAGCTGCCGAGGAAATAAAACTCCCGAGAGCAAAGGGCTGCGTGAGCCTGGGTGTGTCACGGCAAACAGGACTTTATTTCTCTGGCAAACGTCTTGGTCCAGCCCAGCCTTCCCGGCCGGGAGCAGGGCCCCTCCCGAGGGCCCCGATGCCTCGCACAGGTGGGCCTGGCCCGGGCTTACAACTTCAGGTCAGGAGGCGGAGGAGCCCTTTCTCCTTCCTGTTCCCGGGGCAGCAGCCGCACCTCCCACACCCTCTGACCTGGGGACCCGACTCAGAAGACAGGCCAGGGGAGGCTGGGAGGAAGAGGGCCTCAGGCCTTGCAAGCAGCAAGAAGGGGGGGCTGCTCCCGGCTGCTGACCTCGATTTGGGAGGAGTCTAGGCCATCTCCTCGGCAAGGAGTGGCTGGAAGCGGGAGGACCCTGAGGAAAGAGGTGCCACTGGCGGCGGTGGCCTGTCCACCCTCCCCACTTCCGAGTCAGGCCCAGCCGGGGTGGCCTGCGGCCGGTCACGTCTGCGGGTCACACGGGCTGTCCCAGTCGGCCTCGCTCTCGCAGCGGGCCCGGCCGTGGAAGAACTGCTCGATGAGGTTCCGGGCCTCTTCCTTCACTGCAGACCCAGAGTGGGGGGGGGCGGAGTGTGAGGGCCAGGCTCCTCCCCGCAGGGCCCCCACGTGCCACCCACCCGGCGACGCAGGCACTCACCGCTCCCTCCCGGGCAGGACCGCTGAGCCAGCGAGTGGGAGAGGTGGCGGGCGAAGCCTTTGAACAGTTCCTGCAGGCAGAGGGCGCGGAGGAGCAGCGAGCACAGGCCCAGCGGGGACCAAAGGGCCGGGCAGACCGAGGGCGAGGGCGGGGGCGGCCTGCCTCCCCTGCGGCTCCCACTCCCCGCCCTCCGGCCCCTGCCCCCAAGTGGCCCAGGGGAAGGCGAGCAGAGCCCTCCCGCCTCGCCTACCTTGGATGCGAACTTGCCCTCTTTGTAGAAAGGGGTCAGGCACTTGACCACGACCTCCGCAGCCACCTTCAGGGAGAGGCCGGGAGCCGGGAGCCGGCGGGGGCCGTGGGCTGCGGGCTCTGCGGGGCCCTGGTCGCCGGGCGAGGTGCTGTCCCCGGCCTTGGCTAAGATGGAGCCATTGGCTGAAGGGCGGGGCCTCTTCTGGGCCTGGTTCTCCGGGTTGTCCTGTGCAAGGCCATGGTGGAGGGTCACTCTGGGGCTCCCTGTCGCTGTCCCCTCCTTGTTGCTGACTCAGAGAGAGGACTTTCCCCAAGCCCCTAGCCCAGAGCAGAGCAGACACCGGCCTGGCCCCCAAGTCTCCTCCCTCCTGTCAAGCCTGTCCGTACCTGCAGGGGCCTGGGCCGCTTGCCCCTCTGTGTCTCCACTGCGGGGGTGGGCTGGCCTCCAGGGGGCCCCAGGTCTCCGGGTGGGCGGGCACTGGCCGGGGAGGAAGCAGGTGTCAGAGTTCCAGGTACCAGCTGGGCCCTCCGCCCAGGCAGCCCCTGCAGGAAGGGCCCCGAGCTCCAGAGGCCCGGGCAGCGAGGGGGATTCCAGAGGATTCCAGGGCTACCCGGGCCCTTACCTCGGCCCCTTCTCTGCGTACCCCTCCGCCTGTGGAAGGGCAGCCACGCATCCCGGGGCTCCGTCCTCCTCCTCCGCGGAGCACTGCACTGGGGCCTCAGCCAGGGGCCCCTGCAGCCCACCGCAGGAAGGGCTGGAGCCCTCTGCCCCTGGGGCTGAGGCCAGCGGAGGGGGGCTCCCAGCCCTCCGGCAGAAGAAGCGGGCGATGCCCTGAGAATCCCTCCGCGCCGCAGCGGCCAGGAGGTGCTGCTTCCTGCTGGCGCGGACCTGGGCGGGGGAACCGGCCCTGGAGGGGCCTTTCGCCTTCTTCTCAGGGGAGGGCCCCCCACAACGAGCGCCGCCTCCGGGGGCCTCTCCTCTGAGCCCGGGAACGGCCGCACTGCTTTCCTCATCCCGGAGGCCACGGGGCGGGCTCGGGGACTCCTGCGCAGGCCGGGGGGCCTGTGCCTCAGCCTGCCTCTTCTCCATCATCTCTGTGGCCGTCTGGAATGCGCAGGCACCTTTGGGGAAACCAGCCCCCACGCGCTTGGGTTTGAGCTGTGAGCGGGAGGAGAGAGGGTTCTGACGGCCGGGTCCCCTCCAGGACCCTCCCGGCCGGCCCCGGGGAGGGCCGCAGTGGTGGGCCTCTCAGGGGTGGGGCAGCAGCAGGACAGACACAACGCCCCCTGGGGGTCAGGCTGGTGGGAGGAGAGCCGCGGGGCCAGAGGGGTGCAGTGGGCAGGGCAGAGGAGCTCGCGGGCCCGCCGCGGCCGAGGGCCAGGGGACGTGGCGCCCTTCCCAGACCGAGTTTGGGGCGGACGCCGGGACACTGCTCACCGAGTACACCTGGGAGGCCGGCAGGATGTCATGCTCCGAGGGCTCCGGGGGCCCGGCCTGGGCGCTCTGGGCACCGCCTGCCGCGTGGTAGAGCTGCCCGTCCTGGGAGGCCCTGTGGATCTCGGCCACCTGGGGCGGGGATGAGCGGGCCTGCCATGGCATCCTCCAGCACCTGGCAGCCCCCCGCACCGGGCTCTCCCCCAGTGGGCTCCAGGGCCCAGGGCTACAGGCGGCTGGACGGTGGACAAGTCCCAGATTTTATGGGGTGGACTAGAAATACCTCCAGCGGGCAGACGGAAGCGGGGTTCCCCCCGATAAGTGGTCTCTGGGGTGAGGGGTGGACTCTCGGCTGCCTGGGGCCAGGGGGCAGGAGCCCAGGACTGTGGAGGGGCGGCCTCCCCGACCCGAGCCGAGAGAAGGCTCCGCCCACCCGCCGCCGCCCGGCCCACCTTCTTCAGCACGCCGGCCTTGTACAGGTTGGCCGCCTTGGCGTTCCGGAACATCTCGTGCTCCAGCTCCACGGCCTCGGCCCGGAGGGCAGGTCTGGGGGGGCGAGCACGCGCTGTCAGGCAGGCCTGAGCCCCCCGCTGCTGGTTGCCCCTGGGGACCCGGAGGAGGTCAGGGCCTTGGGGGGAATGGCCCTGGGTACGAGGACTCCAGCCCCTCGGTGGTGGCCGAGTCTGCCCCCTGGTGGGGCCGTGAGGACCTGCATCCCCGGGGAGTGGGAAGGGCCACGATCAGGGGTGGGGGCTCCCCAACAAGCCCAGGCTCCTGCGGCTCCCCAAGGAGCAGGACTCGGAGAGCCCTGGCCTGCCGCCTGGCCCGGGGCACTCACCTGTCAGAGGCGCCCGCGGCCCGGCAGTTCCCACTCAGAGCCTCCTCCAGGAGCCCCAGGCAGTGCTCCCGGGCCTGCGCCAGGAGAGAAGGTGGTCACGGGAGCCCCCCACCCCCCGGCTGGGGGTGGGGGGGTGGGGAAGGGGAGCCGCCCCCTCGTACCTTCACAGTGAGCCTGGGGATCTTCCTGCTAGAAGCCTCTTTCAGGGGACAATCCTCGTCTGCGGGGAGAAGGGGTCGCAGGTTCTTCCACGCAATGTTCTGTGCTCTGGCTCCTCCGGCCCCCCCAAGGAGGCACCCTGCTTCCACGCCCTGGAAACCGCCCCCAACCCCGGGGGGCATTTCTGCACCAACCTGGGGGCACAAATTCTTCTCTCTTGGGGTCTTTGCCCTGGAAGAGGACGGAAGGGCAGTGAGGCACCCTGCCCGCTGAAGGGCGGCACCCAGCTCCGCGGCCGCACCAGGGAAGGGCTCCAGGGGGTGTGAGCGCAGGCCCCCCCTGGGGCCCTGCGGAGCCCACCGCCTTCACCTTGCGCAGACTCATCTGCTTCTGGTAGAAGAGGTTCCATTCCCGCTTGTGGGCCTCGTCTCTGCCCTCATCCCCGCTGCCGCCAGAGCCTTCGTCGTACCTGGGGGACAGGCTGGCCGTGAGCGGCCCTGGCCCGGACTCTGCCTCCCCTCCGCACCTCTGCAGGGGCAGCCGTGTCCCGGACGTCCCGGCAGCTTGGGCAGCACTGAGGTCCCAGCCCGGGCGCACAGCCCGCGGTGCAGGGGGATAGTCTGTGGCAGGGTGTCGTCTCTGGTCTGGCCCTGGTGCCCGGGAGAGAATGCCAGACTATTCCCAGGGGGTTGGGGCCCCTGGGCTTGCCGCCCCTCACCTGCTGAAGCCGCCGTAGCCTCTGCGGCCCCCCTCGTACAGCTCAGGGTCGAAGCCGTTCTTCTGGGAGGGCTGGATGCAGGTCCTGCTCCAGCTGCTCGCACGCTCCAAGGTGTCCAGCTGCTTCCGCACGGCCGCGGGATCCTGGCAGTGGTCGCAGCCTTTGGTGCAGGCGGGGGGCGCGTCCCCGAAGTACTTGGCAATGGCGGCATGGCGGCACCTGGAGCAGGCGGCGGGGCGGGGGTGAGGGGCCGAGTGCGGACCGAGCCGGGCGCCACATCCTGCTCTCACAGGGGCCTCAGGGCGTCCTGCTGGCCACTGTACCACGAGGAGGGTGAGGTGAGGGTGCCTGCCCACGGCCGCGTGGCACGTGGGAGCCCGGAGGAGCCGCAGTGCGGCCCTGCTTCTGCCTCGCTTCTCTCTCTGTGGATCATCGCCCCTCGGGGCCTGGGCCCTGCTCCCCTCTGTCCTCTGGCGGAGGGGGCCCTGGGAGGGGCGGGGCCCTGGGTGCAGAGGCTGGCTCTGCAGTTGAGGCTGCAGCCCCGGGGAAAGCACTGGACCCCGCCCAGCGAAGCACAGCACGAAGCACGCTCGCTCACCTGTACACCTGTAAACGTGCAGAGAGCGCGCCGGCCCCCAGGGGCTGAGAGACGACACTCTGAGGCCCTTCCCCCAGCACCTGGACCCCGGCAAGGGCTCCCTGCTGCTGCCTGTCACTCTTTTCTGCAGTGAGGGAAGGGCCGGAGGTGGCCCCGCCCTGGCTCAGCTCTGCTTCTGTCTCTTAGTGTCCTCTCCCTTGCTGTCCCCAGTGAGCCTCTGCCTTGCCCGTGATCACAGTCCTGGGGGCCTGCCCGAGGACAGGAACCCAGCGGCTCTGAGCGCCGCACTGCACGCCAGTCCCGGCGGGGCAGCGAGGAGCAGCAGCCTCGGCACAGCCCGCCTCCCGGCGCCTTCCAGGGTTGCAGCCCCCCAGGGCGCCGGCTGCCAGCTGTCTCTACTCTGACTCCCCAGGAGGAGGGCAGGGTCAGTCCTCGGGGCAGGTGCCGCGGCCCCGGGAGGGACCACAGCTCTATCAAGTCCCTTACAAATGGCCAGGCCAGCCGCAGGAATGTGGTGACAGTGGGGAGCGGAACTGTCCAGGTGCCACACCGGGGACCAGAGCCGCCGGTGCAAGAAGCACTGTAAGCAGCCGAGGCCCCGAGGCCCCGAGGAGCGGGCTCCGGGAACAAGAGCTGATTGTTACCCAGTGCCCAGAGCCTGTTAGCTGGGTGGAGAATGCTCGCTGAGCAGCCCGAGACAGCCAGGCGGCCGCCAGAGGGCGCTGTCACCCCCGCTCCTAAAGCCAATGTGTACCGCCTTCTGTCGCCAGAGTCTGTTACCTCTCTGCACAGTGGCCGCCCGTCCCGCCTCTGGGAGGCCCTGGCACCCAAGTGGCGTGGCCACAAGGTTGGCTTCCTACCGCAGCCCCTCCCAGGCCCTGACTCACTGGGGTTTTGTGCTCGCACTCAAAGGGCTCCATTGACGGCTCGGAGATGCAGGCTGGGGTCCGCTCCTGCCCTGCTCCAGGCACAGGCTGGTCACGCCCAGCCCAATGTCCCCAGTGTCAGAGGGCCAGGCCAGCCACTGCGCCCTGGAGCCCGTCCCAGCAGCCGAGCCCAGAGAGCAGCAAGGGCCCAGGGGACCCACAGAGTCTCTCCAGGCCTGTGGAGCTCGAGGCACGGGCCACTCCCAAGCCGCTTGGGACTCCCAAGTTCTTCCCCAGAATACCTCCCAGGGGCCTGGCTTCTTGGGTGGTCCGGCCCCTCCCCCACTATTTACTATCTTTCTCTGGAGAGGCCAGAGGGAGGGACCAGCCAGGGAGTTGCCTGAGGTGCAGGTTGGGTTGGTGGGGGTTCCAGCTGAAAAGTCCTCCTGAGGGCAGGGCAGGGGCCCAGGGGCTGGGCGTGCTGGGGGCCCCCTCCCTCCCCACTCCACACCCCTCCGCACTCCACACCTCAGCGGGAACCTCCCTGGGGTCCTCTGTGCCAGGGAACAGAACGCCGACCTCGCTTTCTTCAGCTCCCGGCCCAGGCCTGGCCCGGCCCACGCGGCCTAGCACACACCCACCAGGAGGGAGAGGAAGAGGAGGAACGAGCCAGAGGGAGCCCGGCGCATTCCTGCAGACCTCCTGGGGCAGGACGAGCTCCCAGCAGGGCCCCCGGCCCGCGCACAGGCAACAGCGGTGGCACCGGCACCCGCCGGCACCCGCCCGCCCCCGCACAGTGGCCGCCCTGTGTAATCTGACACTTGGCTCTCCTGGACGACCAACGAAAAGCTGGAGCCCAGATAGCAGCTGACGGAGCCGCGGGCCCAGAGGAGCGGCGTCCAGGGAGCAGCACCGGGTCACCGAGGAGGCGTCTGAGGAGAGGAGGTGCCGGCGGCAGCCTGTGGGAAGCAGCCCGCCCGCTGACAGTGCCTGGCTCCCAGCACCTGCGTCCGCCCCCAGCACCCACACCTGAGCTCCCAGGTGAGTGACCACAGACGGCGGGGGGGGGGGGTAATGAAGGGAACGGAGCAGCAAGAGCCCCCTGCCCCAAGGGTGGAGGGCCACAGTTTACTACGGGGGGGAGGGGGGACGACACACACGTGTCCGTCTTCCAGACGGCCTCCTGTTCAGACCTGGGCTCTCCCTGCTTTTGCTGGGACCCAGCACAGGGGACCAGAGGCCAGACCCACAGCCTCCCTGAGGGCATTTCCTCCCTGCTGGCCGACCAGGCGGAGGGGCCCGGGGTGCCTGCTTCCTCTGCAAGTTACTTTAAGCTTTTCCCATCAGGGGGCTCAGCCGAGGGATGTGGCTGCCCCGGCTTGGGGGAGAAGCACCGCCTGCCCCCAGAGCCTCCCCTTTCCCCCAGGTCGAGGCAGAGCTTGCCCTGACCCCACTTCCCCCAGCCCCGGAGGCCCGGGGCAAGGTCTGTCCAGCCACTGCTGACCCCCAAGGGCACCCCGCCCATCTGTGTCCAGGACTAGAGCAGCAGCTGCCACCGACTGTGAGGGGCTTTGTAACAGGGTGCAGCCAGGCCCCCCCAATTGGGATTTGTAACGGGGTCCAGAACTCAGAGTGTCCAGGAAACACAGATGTCAAAAATATGTACAGTTGTCCGAGGGATGGGACACGTGGAGCAGGGCCAGAGTTACTTTGCATATCAACAGTGCGCAAATAACCACAAAAACGGTCATTGACATATCTGGAACTTGTAGCTGGTTTCTAAGTTAAGTAGCTGTGGCCACGCCCTGGGCCAGGGGGATGGGAGCGACTTCCACCCTGGATGTCACTGGGAGGCAACCCCCCCTGGTCACAGGGCCTGCGTGAGAGCTCGGAGGAGGAGGTCGGCTCCACGCCACGGGGCCGTGCCTGCCTGGACTCACGGTGGCAGCTCGGAAAAGCTGGAAAAACACGGAAAGCCGGCAGGTGTGGCTGATTGTGGACGGAGTCAGAGACGGGCCTGCCGAGGGAGATTCGCGCCCGGATTTAAACCCAGGTGCGGCAGCCACAGGGGTGGGAGCCACGCGGTTTGCAGGGCTGACCCCGTGGTTTGGGGGCTCCTTGAACCACGCAGCTCAGGAAGCGGGGAGGCAAGATGCAGCAGCGATGCGGGGCGCTCCCTCTCAGCAGTTTGGAAGAACGCGGGAGAGACGCTGCGGGAAGGAAGGGGGTGAAAGGGCTCTCTTGCTGGTGCGCCCTGAGAAGGTGCCACGCGGGTCTGGATTGAGAACTGGAGGTCACAGCAACACAGCTGATGGTGCTGGGAACCCCGGGGGGCCTCCCAACCGCGCACATTATCACTGGGGAGAACCGGGGGCTGCCTGAGCCACGGACTTCTATTTCTTTTCCTGAGATGCGGTACCCCAGACCGGGCAAAGTGGGGAAGGAAGGACTGTGTGTGTTTGTGGGTGTTTTAAGGGACTCTGGGATTTCAACAAAGACATCAAGTCATTACTCTAAGTCTGTGTAACTTTCGAATAAATTGTTCCTTTCCTTTCCACCAATCTCTGACATTCAGAGTTATAATTCCCTGGCGGTGGGCAAGGTGAACCTAGGTCAGGGGGACCCCGGGAGAGGGGGGGTCCTTTCAGGAACAGCTTGGCCAGCTCACTGCCAGGGGTTCTCGGCCCGGGGCCCCCCCAGGCTCTCACTGAGATGCCCACAGGTCTCCCCAAACGCCGCACCAGAAACGAGAGGGCCAGACTCTAAGCCCAGGGTCGGGCGGGGAGAAGGGGAAGACAGGGAACAGAGGAGACTGGGGGAGCTTCTGCCCTGCTAGCCAGCCCTCTGCTGCACCCCGTGAGGCTGGCCTGACCCCAAGACGGTTCTCCACGCAGCACGGAGAGGGGCCCTCCTTGGCGGGGCCCTGGGAGCCAAGGCCGGCTGACTCCTCCTGCCTGCCTCCCCGCCCGCACCCCCCCCCCCGATGTCTTCCCCAAAGCAAACAGGCTGGTATCTACTTAGGAAAAACACGCTGTAGGAAAGAGTGGAAACCGAGGGTCAGCCTGAGTGTTCCCGGCTCAGCAGAGGCGGCGGGATCTGGCCTGGGCTGGTGGCCGGGCAGCTGCTGGTGGAGAGAAGGGACAGGCGTGGGGCTGCGCCCGAGCCGGCAGGGGCCGTGGTGAGCCCATGGCTGCACCCGCTGGCTCCTCCCCCCGAGACCCCTCTGGGCCCACAGGACACAGTTGGACTGGGTCCCCTGACAAGAACACGGTCCCTGAGCTGGGACAGCAGGGTACTGCCCAGTTTCTGGGTCTTCAGGAGTAATCGCCAGCAGCACGAGGGATTCCTCCGGCCCTGAAAGGCCACAGGGCCGGGGAAGGGGGACCCGCCGAGGGTTCAAGTGTCCACGTCCCACAGCAAGTTGGAGCCAAGGCCACGGCGGGGGGGGGGGGGGCGGAAGCCGCTCGCCGCCTCACCGGCCAGGCCTCCCACAGGCCTGGGTTGTTATTCACTCCAGCTGTTTCCCAAACAAGGCGATGCCCTGGGGGCGAGCGTGGCCTTAAACCAGCCCTGACAAAATAACCACAAAATAACCAGGAAATAACCAGGCAGAGCAGGAAACCCTGTGGGCCTTGTGCCATCCACACCTGCACCTGTCAGTCCCCAAAGCACCTGCCTGCTGCCCCCGGGGAGCTGGAGTATCAGTTTTGGAGTATCAGCAGGAGGAAACTGGAAGCTTCAGTAGGAGGGCAGGTATCTGCCCTGACGGCTTTGTCTGGAGGTGCCCTGCTCCAGGAGATGACACCCACAGGAATGTCACCTGGTCCGCCCGCTCTGCCTGTCTTCCTCTCTGCCTCGCTCACTTGCCCCCTCCGCTGGCTGCCACCGCAGCCTGGAGCACCCCGGGAAGGCTCCACGCAGGGCTGTGCAGGCAGGCAGCTGGGGCTGCTCCCCAGACCCCGGGGCCGGGAAAGTCACCGCCTGCTCTGGCCGTTTCCCACGGATGAAGTACTGAGCACAGGGCTGGGAGGGACTCTGGTTTCCCCGGTTCACAGGCAGCAGGTACGCTTTGGAAGGAGTTTGGTGGACCTGAGATACAGAGACCAGAAAACCAGAGAAACTGGACTTCCCGCCCTTCTCCCTCCGACCCTCCGACCCGGGAAGGTGCAGGGAGGGGAGGCAGCCGGCCCCAGGGCGCCCACTTTCCCGGGGGCCGCAGCTGGGAACACTCAGGGCTCCCTGCAGAGCAACTGCCAGGGCACAAGCCACACGGTCACCTGACTGCCGCTGGCTATATTGGGCGCCAGGCGCCCCCTTGGCCTTGCTTTAAATAGCCCGCTGGGAAGGCCACCTGAGACCCGCCGGAATGTGCCTTCTGCCTCTGAGGAAAGAGAGGCCCCTCCACCCTCCAACCCCCTGCGGTCCCGCTCAGGACCCTTCCGCTCAAGCCCAAGCTGGAAATGCCACCACCTCCACTGAGAAGCCCGGGGGCTCCTCGTCCGTCTTTGGGGCAGGAGGGCCTTGTCCAGCGGCCCCACTCCCGTTCCCCGTGCAGACGGGGTCCAGGGAGCGGCCCTGGCCTGGGCGAGGCTGGCTCACCCGGGGCCCCAGAGGCCCTGGGCGAACAGCCGTGATGCTGTCCCCCGCCACGGCCTGCCGCTGCGACGCAGAGCGGCAGTCTTCCCAGAGCGGGGCGCGGGCCCCCTGGGCGGGAGTCCGCAGCAGCTTTCCGCTGTCACAAGTCCCCGGAGGGTGGCTGACTTCAGAGCCGCAATTTCCGATCAACAAACCCCGCCTTTCCCGTGCAGCAATTCTGCCCTTGCCCAACCAGGGCCACCTTCCTCCTCCCTGCTCTGAAGGTCACGCCCCTCTGCCAGCCCTCTCTAGGGAGAAAGCTCCCCCCGGCCCACTGCCCGCCCCGGTTAAGGAGTGTCTGAGCCTTACAGGAGGCAGTGCAGGCCCCGGGCCAATCGGGCTGCAGAAGCCAGACCCCGTGCAGCCGGAACTGGAGCCAGAGGAGCAGCCCTGTGCCTCTGCCCTGTGTGCTCTCCCCCAGGACGGGGCCCAGCAGGCAGGCTGTGGGCCACCCAGGGCCCCCGGGGGCAGGGATGCCCACAGGCCCCGGGACAAGGGAAAGGCCCGCTCCACTGGTCAACAGGGGGGATTCGGTTTAGTGGGACCACGGGAGCGAGATCCACCCTATGCTTGGGAAGGAATTCGGCGCACCCGAGACAGAAAGGCAGGCGAGGTCTGTGCCTCTGGTGGTTCCCACAGAGCAGGTGTGGCCTTGGCCTGGTGAGTGGTGTGCCTGGTACCAGCAGGGTCCCAGGCTCCGGAGGGTGGGCCGGGGCTGCGCGCGCAGAGCCCACCAGCTTCCAACGGGCTCTGGGGCCCAGGTCACGGGGCTGGCGCACCGCAGGGGCAGTGCCCGCGGTCAGCTGTCCGGAGCTGACTTATCTTGCTGGTCAGAGAGCAGGCTCCCCGAGGCAGGCCCACACTGAGAGACGGCGGGGGGCAGCAGCGGGGACGCCGGCCTGACCCTGTCCTGCTGTGTGACCCCGAGAAGTCCCTTCCCCTCTTAGCTCTCAGCGTCCCCGTTCGTAAAAGAAAGGAGGCAGGTGGTGTAGTAACCTGTGGTGCTCTAGGAGGCCACGCCTCAGTACCTCTGCAAACTGGGGTCCTGGCCTCCTTTGCGGAGGCGGGACGACCCTGGGTGGGTTGAGAGGGGAGATGGGAGGTTTCTGGAGTGGAAGCCTCCTGCTTCTGACCGTAAGCCGTCGGTCTGACTTCCTGGGAGCCGTCACCGCCTGCCCTCCCATCACCACATGAAAGCAGCCCCCCGTCTCCTGCTTGCTTCCCCCGCCTTCACCTCACACGCCACGAACACTCTGGAACGAAGGACCCGGGCGGAACTCCCCCGAGGTCTTCGAGGAGGGTCACGGGCAGTGTTCGCAGAGGAGTAACTGGCCCCCAGAGCCGCCCGGCTCGCCGGCGCTGACCAGGCCCCGCCCAGAGGGCATCATGTGAGCTGGGCCCCTCCCTGTGCCAGGCTCCGCGCTGCCAGGCGGCCTCGAAGGACGAGTGTCTGGCCCGCATTACAGGGAGGGACAGACCCGGAGACGAAGGGACTCGTCCCGTCGGCAGAGCAGGAAGGGGGGCAGCGCTCAGACCACGGGTGGCACAGGCGGTGCTCCGCGGCAGGCAGATGACAGAACCACTGGAGAAATTACTTTGAGGCGGCGATGCAGGCGGCACGTGCCGGTGGCCTGCCAGGCCCTGAGGGACTGAGGCGGAAGAGGGGCAGGAGTGTCCTGGGGGCCCCCCGAGGGACACACGGGCCAGTGTGAGGCCCCACCCCTGCCGATCGGGGCTGCCCTAGAAGGAGTGGGGTGGGCTGTGGTAGCGGGTGGGGGGCTCCCACGGCAGCCAGAGGGGCTGGAACAAAGGCCGCACACCGCAGGGAGGACGGGGGCGGGGCGGTGGCACCTGTGGGAGAGACCGGCTCCAGGGACCGCAGCCACGTCGGGAAAGCCCGCCTGGCGAGGCGGGGGACGCGGCAGCCGTAACTGGAGCCCGAGGCCTGGCACACGCCCCTAGCCACCTGTCGGCCTCTCCGGGGCTGGAGCCGCCCTGGGGAGCGGGTCCGGGCCGGGCTGGCTCACGCGGCCCCTGGTCTCTGTGTAAAGGCCCTGGCTCCCCATGTCCGCGGTGAGGCCTGGGGGAGGGGGCTCTGCCGCATCTCACGCCCGACTCACAGACCGGGCCTGGGCCTCCCGGGCTGACAGAGCCAGTGGGCCGAGCCGCCACACACCTGGGGCAGGTGTGAGAGCAGAGGCGGCCCTCCCGGCGGCCCAGAAGCGCGGGCCGGAGCCAGCAGGGCAGGGAGGGATTGGCCAGACTAGCCCTGGGGTGCCCGGTCCCATTCTGAAGAGGACCCCTGGGGAAAACCTGAAGGGACACAGTGTCATCCCTTCCTCCCGGCAGGAGAACTCCGTGTGAGCAAAGAAGCTGGGCGGGTGGAGAGGTGGGGGGCAGTGCCAGCCAGGTGAGGGCGGGCGGCCGCCGCAGAGCAGAGGGGCCCCACGGGCTCCCCAGCAGCGCCCCCCTCAGAGCCGCCAGAGCCGCCAGAACCCAGAGGGCCGAGGCCGACAAACCCGTTCTGCAGGCTGCAGGGAGCGAGAGGGCGGAGGCCCGGCCCTGGCCCCGGCCCGCGGGGACTCAGGCCCTGTCTCTGCTCCGCGCAGCCCGGCGGGAACCCCGCGGGAACCCCGGTCGGCATGGCAGTGGCCGACTTCGTGCAGGAGGTGAGCGCCGTGGGGCAGAGGCTGCTGCTCAAGCTGCAGAGGCTGCCGCAGGCGGAGCCCGTGGAGATCGTGGCCTTCTCCGTCATCGTCCTCTTCACAGGTCGGTCGGTGGGGCCCCGAGCCTCTCCCCGGCTCTTCCGGGCACCGGGGGGAGGGGGAGGGGCGGGGACGAGACCACGGTGTGGGCCCGGGGGCTGGTGGGGGCGGCCTGGGGGCTCCCAGGCGGAGGAGCAGAAACGAGGGGTTTCCCCCAGTCCTGAGACGTGCTGCTTGAGTGACGGGCTGGGTGGCGCTGGGCACCAGAGGCTCCCAGCATTGCAGCCGGGGACGGAGGGAGCGGAGCCCTGGCAGGCGGACGAGGTGCGGCAGGGAGGGGGTCCGGGCCCCCACACCTCCGAGGGGCTGCTTCGGAAGGAGGCAGGCATCCTCTCTCTCCTCACCTTGGGGTTCCCTGTGCCCGCCCCCCCCCCCCGCATCCTCCAGCCGCCGTGCTGCTGCTGCTGCTGCTGGTCGCCTGTAGCTGCTGCTGCGCCCACTGCTGCTGCCCGGAGCAGAGGGGCAGGAAGGCCCAGGCGCGGCGGTGACTCCGCCATGAGGGACGGAGGCCAACCGAGGAGACGCTGGAGAGGAGTCTGCCGGGGCCACGGCCCGGGTGTCAGCCTGGCCCTGCAGCCCTGACCCCGCAGCCCTGACCCCTCAAGACCGAGATCCACTGTCACAGCGCGGGCCCTGCCCAAGGACCGGACCGAGAGACAGGAAAGCTCGTCGGGGAAACAAGGGCTGTTCCGGTCCTAAAGCTTCCCTCCCCCCGCCAGTGAACATGGCGCGGAGGAGGGGCCGGCGGTGTCACGGACGGAGTCAAGCGCCCGGGTGCCGGCCTACCTGCACTTGTCAACGAAACACAGGAGCGGGTTGCTGCCCTGCGGGGAGCTGGCCCCGGGGTTCTGCTGCACCACGCCGAAGAGGAGGGCCCGACCACGGGGACTTCGTGCAGTGGCGGGGGGACCCCGCGCCCCCACCAGCGCGGGCCGCGCAGATACTCCAGCCAGTGTTGGCCTGTCTCTCCCCAGCAACAGCTTTTCGGGGGGGTTTTTCCGTGGCGCCGGGCTCCTGGGCTGTGCCCCGTGCATCAGTGCATCAGCAAGGTCACATGCCAGAACTCCAGGGGCGTGACCAGTGGCTGGCTATCTTTTCAGGCCCCTGCTCTCCCCGTGCCCGTGAAAGCTGGAAAAGGCGCAGGCACGAAGGCCACCCAGGAGGGAATGCCGCGGAACCAGTGAGGCGAGTGGGGGAGCTCTGGTCAAGCACTAGCTGCTAACGAGCTCCGACCCCCAGACTCCCACTCTGCAGTGACAGACGCTGTGTGTGCCCCAGGCAGGTGCTGGCTCAGAGGCGCCACTTAAAAGCATCCACTGCCATTAACTCGGGCGGGCACAGCTTGCACTAGCAGGCTCACCTTGCACTAGCAGGCTCAGGCCCCCGACTTTTCCCAAACTTCTGGAGAAAGAGAAGACAGGTCAGGCCCCTACAACTGACCACGACCTGTGTCCCGGCGCCTTCACCCTCCCCCCATTTGTGTGCCAGACTGCCAGGGTTCAAGTCTCCCCCTCCCCAAGTCGCCAGCTGTGGGAATGCAGGTGAGCTACGCCACCTCCCTGAGCCACATTTTCTCCCCGTGACGAGGGGCCAGTCCTGGTAACTGCCTCCCGGGGCGAGCCTGTGGGGATAAGCTAAGACGACCTAGGTCGAGCACGTGTGAGCTCTCTGCGGGTGTGAGTGGCTCCTCTGCACGGGGGCCGGCCCCGAGCGACACGGGCCATTGTAACGGCGGGTCCTGCTGAAATGCAGCCCGGCCCTGCCACCCGCTCCACCTGCTTTCCCCGCCAGAGAGCTTTCCAGGCAGAGGCGCCGCCCAGGGGTGACGGCAGGGGAGGGACGGCTCCGCGCTACCTCCCCTCCTGCCCACCGGACCCCAGGGCCATCAAAGGTCCTCATTTCTCACACGCCTCTGTTGCCGTGGCCCGGGCAGCCGTGCTCTGCCTGCTTGGGGACAGAACCCGGTCTGCTCAGAAAACAGGGAGTGGGGAGGGGACGCCAGCCGCTGCCACCACCCGTCACCGCCACCCTGGAGCTGGCGGGCAAGCAGAAGCAGTTTCTCTGGCTGGCTTCACTTCCTGGTGTCCCGGGACCTGTCGGTTTGGTTTCGGCTGAAGACCCGGAGAGGAAGTGCTTGCACACAAGACAGAGGAAATCCAGGAGTCTGCCGGCGCCCTCCGCCCCGCCGGGACCACCCAAGAACGGGATGCGGAACAGGGACAGCCATGGTGATGCCGGTGATGGCGTAAAGGCAGCTAGAACCACTGAGGGCTCACACGTGTGCTCAGGCGGCGTCCTAGGATTCCGACGCCGACGGGTGCACCGAACCCTCACAACAGCATCCGTGCTGCAGGCGGCATTATCGCGCCCATTTTAAAGACGAGGATACGGAGCCTCAGCAACGCTAGGGAGCCTAAGTCCACCTGAGGCAGGACAGGAAAAGCTGGGAGAGTCCCTTTGCAGGGTGGACAGGGAAACTGACACAGATGGCTGAACAAACGTGCCGAGTGATTCACAGCCGGGAGCTGGCCGCCTCCCCTGGAGATGGCACCTGGGCCTCGGCTGTAGTTCAGCCCCAGGCCCAGAAAAGCAGCAAAACCAGGTGGGTGAGGCCAGGGCCGGCCTGCAATGCCTAATGACCCCCTGTCACCGACCAATCCGTGGAGACCAGGGTCCTGAGAGGGTGCACCTGGAGAACTGATGCGTACCTGCGGAGACCTCCCTGGAGACCGCCCCTAAAACTGCTGCCTGCCAGAGGGATACTCGCGCCTCAAGACAGAGGGCCCAGCTGGGGAGCAGCCCGAGCCGTTCCCTTCCCCCACAGGCAGCATCTCCCGAACTCTGAGGGGCCCCGAGACTTGCAGTCAGGGGAAAATGGGCAGCAGCAGCCTGCAGCTTGTGCCCAGTGGACCCCCTGAACCCGGCCCCAAGGCCCCCTTTTCTCCGACTTCCCAGGAAGCAGAGGCAGCCCGGCCTGGGCTCTCCGGTGGCTTCTCCTGTCCAAGCCCTCCCTTGTTTCTCTGTGCCCAGCTGTAATAAACACACTCACAGTCACCTGGACTCGCACTGTGAAGTCTTTCCTGCACAAGGTCAAAACCCGACACACTCCCAGCTGGCCCCGGCAGTCCCGCCCAGGGCCAGGCCCTTGCCTGGTGACAGGACCAGCAGGAAGGTGGCAGAGCCAGTCCCTGGGCCCAGCGCAGGCCGGCAGCAGAGGCCCTGCTCGCCGTGCCCAGGCCCAGGCCCTCCCAGCTGCAGAGCGGATAAGCCTCCGATTCCATCACCCTCCGTCAACCAGCCCGGACACCCACACCCAGAGCTGCCTCACAGTGACCTCCCGGTGCGCGGGTGGGGCCCAACCAGGTCGCCCTCTCGGAAGTAACGCATAGGGAAGTGGGGGGGCAGGGCGCCACGGGAAGCCCTGGGTTCAGGAGCCCCTCCAACAGCGCAGCACCCCCCCACCCCACCCCCGTCCCCCAAGACTTTTCCTGAAGCAGCTTTTCAGCAGCATCAGGGACGTCCCTTCCTGAAGGTGGCCCAACCTGAACCTCTTCGCTTAGAAGACTCTGGCTTCCTGGTCCAGGTGCCAAGAGGTGGGGGCCACACGGACAGCCCTGGGTACCGCCAGGCTGGCTGGCTGGTTTGTTTGCATTTTTCCCCACCAGACCAGGCAGTACCTAACTGCTGAGTCCCAGTCAGACACTGTGTCTGCCCCTAGAAGGCTGGCCCCTCCCCACTCCTCGGCAAACTGGGGCACCCTGAGCCCCGCCACCGATCTGGCCAAGTCCAGGGCAGGCTTCAGTCCCTTTCAGCGCAACCAGCCAGACCTGCTCCTGCTCCAGCGCCACACTCGGCAGCGGGCTACGGTGCGCTCCCGGCACAGGCCGCTCCCAGCGCGGGCCGCTCCCAGCGCGGGCCGCTCTGGGGCAGACGGGAGTGGAGAGGCGGCAGCGACACCTCCACTGTGGGAGAGCACAGACAGACAGAGAGGCGCGGCGAGGTGGGTGGGGGCCATGGGAGCGGTGGCCTGCAGGGTGTCTTGGGCCCAGAGAATGTCTGGCTGACTCCAGACCCAAAATCTCCCCACTCCCGCTGCCAGGGCGGCACCCTGCACCAAGCCCCCGAGGTCGCTGCAGCAGCGTCCGAGCCAGGTTCCCGGCTCACTCCCGGTCCCTTCGTGCCCACCCTCCCCCCCCAGCTGTGACCTCTGGGGGCTCCCGGTTCCTCAGAAGGGTTTCACTCTGCACTTAAGATCCATGCACTTGACCGTCCGCACAACATGCCTTATCAGACACTACAGGAAGGTCGTGTATACTAAGGTCCCCAAGAATCCCACGGGCAAAACCTGGCAGAGCGCACAGGAACTGGTTCTCTCCTGAATCTGTTTTCTCAAACGCTGACGTCTGACAGCAACCTACAGTGAAACCTTCACAGGGGCTGACGGAGTTTGCGTGTGGGGAGTACCAGTTCCAGAGCAGAAAAAAACGGAGGACAAATTAGTTTTATCCCTGCAGACGGTATCCTTGCTTCCCTTGGGACCTGCCACCTTCCACGGAGCCCTGACCCCTCACTTCAATTCCCACACGGTCTCCAGTCTCCCCGTGCACCCCCTCCTCCCAGGGGTGTCCGGCCCCTCGGTCCCAGCCAGGCTCTGGCACAGGCACTGACAGTGGTGCCCCCCCCCACCCCGGGGCTCTTCCCCGAGTGCGCGTTTGCCGACGGGAGTTCCTGAGTTGCCCAGTTTTGCTCCGTGATGCAGAGCAAAAGCTTAAAGGCAACTGCAAAGAACGTGAGTGTGAGATCCTCCTGGACTTTTACAGAATGTTTACTGTTGTCTGCATCAATATTTCGACGGGAATGTTAGCTGAGTGTTTCCAAAGTTACTCCGAGGTGGTCAGAGAGGTCACTCCAGAAAGGGCCTCCCTCCACCCCGCTTGCCCCGAGTGGGGTGCAGCGCAGCCTCGGAGCGCGGGCGGGGAGCCAGGGCGGGCGGCGGGGCTCCTGGCCAGAGTGGCCGAACCTGCTCCCCAGCTGCAAGATTGGGGTTTCGGCCACTGTTGTTGCCTCAGTGCATTGTGTAATTCCTAAGTGCAATTATGTAATTACAGTGACAACAGTGACAGCAGCCACAAACAGGTCTGGGGACAGGCGGCTGACTCTCGATAAGCGCCCAGCGTAATGATGGGGAGGAAGCGCGGGGGTGCACCAGGGACCAGCCGCGGGCTGGGAGCGGCCAGCAGGCCAAGGGCGTTAGTCAAGGCGTTCCCCAGGAGAGAATGCAGAGTGCGGGGCAGGCCGGGTCAGCGGAGCCGTGATCGTTAAGAGGGGCTTCGCCGAACTCGCCCATTGGTGTCTCCTCGCACCTGGCTGCATGCTGGAATCGCCTGGCATGCGGGGCTCAGACGAGCCCAGAGACCGAGGTACGTGGTCCGGGTGGGGCCTGGGCATAGGCATTCAGACCAGTCCCTGGATGGTCCCACCGGCCAGGCCGAGGGCCAGTGCGCGGGGATGTGAGCCCTGGGAAGGCAGGGCCTGCCCCTCCTGGTTCACACGCCACGGCGGGCACCTGAACCCTGTCTCCTAGAGGAGTGCGTGGCGGCCACCAGCTTTCACGAGCCAAGGCCCTGCCTCCACTCCCACGTCCCGGCTGCCCTGTCACACCGGGGGGTAGGAGCCAGCCACGTGAAGCAGGACCCAGAGCCTCGCTGGTGGTGACACTCCTTCCCAGAAACGAGTTCCGGGAGGTACCTGTGGGAGCCGCGGTGAGCCGCGCACCCCGCACCGCGGGCAGGGGAGCCTGAGCTCTGGGCGGGTCCTAGCAGTCCACACCTCACCCAGACAGAGGTGCGGCGGAGGGGGGGGGGCAGGATCCAGCCTGGCAGACAGGCAGCCTGGGGCAAAGGCCCTGGGTCCCATCTCTCCCCCCACCGGCCCCATGATGTCACAGGAGGGCAGAATGCAGGTGAGGGGGCAAGTGCGAAAGGCAGGCCGGAACCAGGGGTTGCTAGGCAATGGGCCCCGGCCCACCTGTGCTCAGGTGAGAGCAAAGAAGTCTGGCCAAGGGCCACTGGGCAGTAAAAACACCCTTTCCTCCCAACAGGTGCCTCTCTGAGGCCCAGTGCAGCTCTGGCTACCCACTGACCTCTCCGGCGGGGCCCCCAGAGCGCGCCCCTCACCCTCACCCAGCTCCGCCCTGCCTCAGCCCGCGGGAGTGCGGACAGCAGGGTCAGGTAACGGCTCCTCCCCTCTCGGCCTGCCCCCCTCCAGCCGACCTCAGCGGTGCCTCCAGAAGCTCCTCGAGCCCCTCCCCCCGTCGGCCCCCACCGTTTGCAGCTGCCACGCAGGAAGTTTACAGAGGTCCCCGCTCGAGTCGGTCCACTCCTCCACATCCACGCTGATCCCTCAACGTGCTTCCCAAACGTGGGGCCACTGAGGCAGGACAAACAGGAAGGACCCCGAGCAGAGCTTTAGCGGAGGCGGTCCCAGGGGTGGGACAGGAAGTCCTCACCCATCCCAGCGCCGCTTAGGAGAGGACTGGCCAGTCCAGGGGCAGCGGCCGGGAAGAGCCCGAAGGCCCCTCCGTCGGTGCCCGCCCTCACTCCTGTTCCTACAGAGGAGGACAGTCCACTCGTCGCTGGCTGGAGGCGTCGAGCCCAGGGACTCGCCGTCGCTCCAGGGTCTGCTGGCCGCAGAGGTGGGCCAGCGGCACCCGGAGGCTGCTGCAGGGGGTGGAGTCGGGGCCGGGGTTGGGTGTGGGGGGCCAGCAGCGCCTGGGACAGGGCCCTGGAGAGGCCCCTGCACCCAGAGCCTCTGTCCCCGTCTCAGGTCCACATGGACACCCTGCTGACCGTCCCGAGCAGCCTCTGGAAGGACCAGTTCTGGGAGAACCCCTGGGACCAGGGCGGCCTGGCCGTGATCGGCCTGTTCATCGCCACGGTCCTGCTGCTCCTGTCGTTCGCCATGGTGTTCGGTGCGTCCCCTCCGCTTGAGAAGGCCGGCCGCTCCGAAGAGTCGTGACCTGACTTTCTGGGGGCCGGGAAGGGGGTGCCGCCTGTCACGCACTCCCCAGGCACGGTGCGTGGCCTCTCCCTCCAAGCCCTTTCAGCAGTCTGCAATTACACACTGTCGTGTGGCGACCTGACAGGGGCCCGTCTTCCTCACTGGACCCAGCACCGCAGAAGGCGGGGACGGCGGGCCCCTCTGGGCTCCCCACCGCGTCCACCGGGCCGGTGGGCCCGGCGGGGTTGGTACCCACCGGTGTCTGCTGGTTGAACGGACGAAGGGACCGAGGAGCAAAGCGAGCAGGGGGACAGAGGGTGCTGCTGGGCTGCTGGCTCCCCCGGTAGAGACGGCGGGAGTCCCGCTCAAGCCAGGCCTGCACCCCAGAACCATTCTCCCCTCTCGGACGAGTCGTCCGGCCTGCGGGCCGGAGGGTGCCTCACACCAATCGCCATCCTTTTGCCACTACAGGGTAGAGGGCCCTGCCATCCGTGAACAAGCCAACGCCCCCCACGGCCTTAGCTCAGAGGAAGCAGCGGCAGGAAGAAACGGGGGAAGCCCGCTGGCGTCCCACCCGGCGGCCCTCCTCGGGCCCCAGGGCCGTTGCTCCTGGTCCCAGAGGTGCCCCCGTGCACCCCGGGCCCAACGCCGCCGCCTCTCTCTGTGGGGATGTGCGCACCCCCGCCCGAGCCACCACACCGGCCCGCCCCCCGCTGCCAGGCGCTCCCCTTAGTGAACGGCTGCCTCACCTCCAGCCGCAAACCCAGACGTGCCTAGAAAAGGGGCAAATGTCCGGAGGGGAAGGGGCTGTTCCTTCCTGCTCTACACCACTGACGCGTTGCAGAAACACGCCCCGCACTCACAGAGCAGCGTCAGACCCAGCGACACCGGCGGGGCTATTCCGCCCCAGGGCCTGCCGGTCCTGGAGCCCGTGACCCTCCCGTGGGACGTACGGGGGATGAGGCTGCACGTGGGGCGACCGGAGCCCCGCCGGCACCCAGGCCCCCCAACACTTAAGAGGAGGAATCAGGGTAGAGGCCCCCAGGAAGACCTAGCCCCTTGGCATGTGGCAGCCGACCCTCTGGACAGCCCTACCGAGCCCAGACTCCTCCCAGACAAGAACCAGGCCAGGGCCGCTTCCGGCAGCGGGGACACTGACCAACAGCAAGGACACTTGGCCCTTCCACCCTCAGCACTTCCATCCAGGAGCCCGAGGCCCAATTTGGTGCCTCCCTGTCCTGGTGCCCAGACAGGGCTCCCCCCGGTCACAAGGGCCGTGGGTGCGGGCGGCCCTGAAAGTGTAGCCGAACCCCTCAGCACAGATGAGGGTGCCCCAAACCTGCTCTTGTCCCCGGGGCCGCATGAGGGCGGACCGCTTGCAGGAGGAAAGCGCTTCAGTCCAGGGGCCGCCGGCTCCTCAGCGAACAGGAGGGGCGGGCACCGAACCCAGGGCGCAGATGAGAGTCTCTGGTTTCCAGAGCGAGCCCCAAACACCTGCCGGACACCGGCAGCCAGCTCCACGCTTCCGGAGTCTCACCCCACCACGCAAACCCAGGGCGGCGCGCGCGCATGTGAAAATGCGCCCTGAGCGTCGGCAGGGCCGGGGTCCACGGCATCCGTCTGCCTCGAACTCTGTGGCCGCCACGTCTTGCACACACGTGTGCTCACCTCCGAGCCCGCGGCAACCACGTCTGCCTCATCTGCCTCCCGGGGCTGTCCCGTGAGATCTCGCCGACGACAGCAGAGGCATCAGTCTAAGAGCCTTCCAGACCAAAGGGCCGCCCACGCGCGCCGTGCTGCCGGCTGGTCCGGAATCCCCCCCGGACGCCCCTCGCAGACGCGCAGCAGCGCTGTGCTCGGGGCCGCCCTGCCACGGCCTGCCTGTCCCTGCAGCTACCCGGCGGCTCCTTGGTGACGCCGCTGCCGGCAGGTACAGAGGAAACAGGAAAGTGGGCGGGCCGGCGTGACGGGAGGAAAGCTGATTTCTCCCCAGTCACCTTACCCACTTGGCGAGGGGAACTGGCGGGTCACCCGCCGCTGTTCGTCCGGGTGAGAGTGGAGCCCACCAGTGGTCCAGCTCAGCGATGACCACGGTGCCAGTGGCTCGGGACTGGTCCGCTGACTCAGGACTGGGTCACTCACGGGGCCACCCACTCCGGAAGGGGGTAAGTTAGGGCGGACGGATGGATGACCACCCAAAATGCTCAGTCCTCACCCAGCCAGGGTTCCTGGGGCCTTCCAGGAAAGAGCGGAAGGGTACCGACCTCTAGGCCACCAGACAGGAAACGCCCCAGACCACGGCCTTCAGCAGGCAGGCGCCCCCTGGTGGCCCAAGTGCTGCCCCACAGCAGCTGGCGAACCGGCGGGTGCTGGAGGAGGAAAAGATCTCACTGACACTTCGCCCCGGAGAGACACGCACACAAGTCACTCACCCCGGCTCTTCACAGAAGTTCACCAGGGCATCGAAGGCCAAGAGAGCAGCTTTATCCGATGCTTTGTTCCCTCTCTTCTCCTGGAAACGAAGAATGACCATTTGTATGGTGATGACTGGGGGCGGGGGGGGGGGGTAGGGAGGGTAAATCGGGGGTAAACGGTGATGGGAGGAGCCTTGACTCGGGGTGGCGAACACACAGGACGATATGCAGATGATGTGTTACGACGGAACTGCACACCTGACACCTATGTAATTTCATTAACCGACATCACCCCAATAAAGTCAATTAACAAATTACAAAAAAAGAAATGGCCATTTAGTAAGTCTGACATAGTTGCACTGCTTATACCCCAAAAGACAATGAAAGAAAAAATATCAAATGACATTAAGAAAGCCACTTACAAAACAGTGCCCCCAAACCTGAGCGCGCATCAGAACCACCCGGGCAGCTGAAAAGAGTGGCCGGGGGCCTACCCCTGACTACTGAAGCGAACTTTCTGGAACTGGAGCCTTTGAGGGTGGATACTTTCAAAAAACCACTCACGCGATTGTCATGCAGAGGACCCAGAACTGGCCCCTGAGAACCACGGTAGAGGACGTGACCCAGTTTAATAGTGGATGCAGGCCCCAGGGCACGCACGGGCACAGGCACTCGGGGGGCAGGCGCACCCCCGTGTGCGGGGGGGGTGGGGCACTCGCACTGGAACGCTGACAGTGATCGCTCAGCGTGGGAACCCCTGTTGCCTTTTTGGGTTTCCCCCGGAACCTCACTCACTGAGGAGAAATGAGAGTCTTACATCGTCCCACTCGGACTTGGTACCCGCCCAGGGCCTGCCTGCTCTCTCCGGGGTTTTAGTTTTCTTCATCTGAATTGGGGGTTCTCGCCCCCGGCTGCGTATAAAAACCAACTGGGGAGCTTAAAAAAAAAATCTCTTGTTGATAGCCTGTAACCTTTACACGTAGGTATTTAATAAGCTTTGTTCTTGCAAATTAAGGTTTCATTTCCATTCCTAGGACCAATATTTACAAAAATGCAGCAAAAAGCTGCTGCTTTTAAAAACATTTCTACTGCATTCAGCCACCTTACCAGTTCGTTTGTTTTTAATAAATCCTAATAGATTTCTAGTAGACTCTGGGGTTTCTAGGCATGTGTTGACATTTCTACCTCCCGGGGACCGCTCTCCTCCTCCCCCTGACCCTGCGAGTTTATACATTTTTTTTGTCTTTATATCATCATTTTGGTGGGAATCAGAAATAAGTGCTTGTATGTCATCTTTCTCACAAGGGAAAGTCTGCATGTACCCTTTGCAACTTCACACATTGTGCTTTGGAGGACTCACTGGGTCACTCTCAGCCACCCCAGGCCACCCCGCTGGGCGACTGGCCCACGGTGTGCTCATCCCGCACGCCGGGGAGGAGCCCGACCTCACTGTCACTGCCACGGGGCTGCAGGGAACATGCCCGTGCACCCTTGTGCACGTGACAGTGCGTCCGTGCACATGACAGCGTGCCCGTGCACACGCGGAACCACTGCGCCACAGAGCGCCAGCGTCCCCCGCTCACATGTCACCACCTGTGTCTCTCCAGAGCACTCGCACGAGTTCATGTTCCGGACAGCGCTGCGAGTGACCCTTTCCCACACCCTCGCAAGTGACCGCAGAGATGTTTCCACTTTCGCCAACCTGACGGGTGTAAAACAGCAGCCTGTCACCTAAGCTGCATTTCTCTCTTAGGCGATGTGAGCACCTCTTCGTCCCGTCGTTAGATACCCTGGTTTCCTTTCCTGTGAGACTCAGAGATGGTTCTCTGCGGCTGCTCACCCGCTGCTTACCCACCCACTGAGTGCTCCGCGTACCCGGCCACTTACGTGCAAATATTGCAAATACTTCCCAGCAATGGCTCATTTTTCACTTTGTTTATGGTGTCTGTCTCACAGAGATTTTCAGTGTGAATTTAGTCAAACAGACAGTATCTTCCCCAATGGTTTCTGCCTTTAAAATCTCAACACACTCGGCCCTTCCTCGAGGCCATCAAGTGCCCCCGCCCCATGTACAGTGTTCGAGGTCTGTGATTTACATGTGTACGGTATGGGAGGCGGGAATCTGATTTACCTTTTCCCAGCACCAGTCACTCAACCGTTCGTCCCTCCCTGTTGACTGACAACGCCACCTGCCACACACCAACCCTTTACAGACGTGGGTCTGTTTCTAGGCTCTCTACAAAGATGTACATGTAACCAGCTATTTAAAAAACACTAAAAACAAAAACAGAGAACCTGTAACAACTCGGGAAAGTGGCTGTGTAACAGTGATCACGGAAACAAGGCCGGATCGGTCTTGACGATGTAAAACAACACGCACACAAAAGACCGTACTCAGAGGAAGTAAATTCCCAGGAAGAAGTCTGACCTCGCTTGTTGCAATGCTCACGCGCCAACATACAATCCCCTTGCCGTAACGTCTAGCCCCAGGAGCACCTTGCTAGCTTACAGAACCCCCACCTGAGTCCAGAAATAAGCTGCGTGAAACTGGCGAGCAGAGGCTTGGGACAGAAAGGGCTGCTCCTGCCCGGGACTCACCTGGAGGTTCGCTACCTCCTTCCTGACCAGGAAGCTGACCTGGTCCCGGTCGTTCCTGGAGTAATACAGGCGGCACCAGGAAGGCTTCCCGTCCCTGCCCGCCCGGCCGGACTCTTGGTAGTACCCAGCCATAGACTTGGCAATGTTCCAGTGGGCGACAAACCTGTAGGACCCAAAGGGACAAGCAGCATGAGACGGGGCAAAAGATGTGAGGGGAGGAGCGGTTCTGAGTGGGTGGAGCGGGGCTCTCCACAGCGACCGGAGCGGGGCAGGCAGGCAGGGAGGGGCGGGGAGAGGACCCAGCGTGAAGCGTGGCCAGGACACCTGCGGTCCATCCGCAGGCCTCCCTGCTGTGGGGCAGCCCGGTTCAGAGGCCACAGCAGCAACGGGTGAAAGTCCGACACACGTGAGAAAGAAAAAATCCCCACAAATCAGAGATCCCGAGGGAAAAAACACTGAACTTAAACCAATAAGATTAGGCCACTCACGAGCTGGGCAACTTTGAAAAAACCCTTTATAATCTCTTTGAAGCGAGAAAAGGATGACGTTTATTAAATACCTACTATGACCGGCCTGTGAGCCAAAGGGCTGCCGGTTCGATTCCCAGTCAGGGCACATGCTTGGGTTGCAGGCCAGGTCCCCAGTGTGGGGCACATGAGAGGCAATCACACACTGATATTTCTCTCCCTCTCTTTCCCTCACCCTTCTCCTCTAAAAGTAAATAAACAAACCCTTAGGAAAAAAAAAAAAGTACTGCGAGCCAGTGTGTGTATTTGTCTCATTCAGCTGTCACAGTCCTGTCATGTGAGGTAGCCCCATTTTACAGACAATGAACTTGAGATTTAGAGATGTAAACTATACAAGATGACATAGCAAGGGGACAGCAGTGCTAGGATTTGAGCTAGGGGTGCCTGACTTCAAAGTCGGCCCCCAATGAGACGCAGCGAACCCAGCCTCCAAACTCTAGTTACAAAGTTGGTGTTCAAAAGGAGACTTGACTTGGGGTGGTGACCGGTCCATACGCTATGCAGATGGCGTAGTGCAGAACGTGCACCTGAAACCTACATACTTTGATTAACCGACGTCACCCCCACACAGTCAATAGAAATGAACAAAGTCTGTGATCCCTCAAATGCAGTGCCCAGGCTAATTCCTACCCTGGCCAACCCAGGGTCACTCTGAGTCTTAACAAGACCACGTACGGAAAGGTGCTCCTTAAATCACACAAGGCGTTATTGTTGGCGTCGATCAGAACAAAGGGCTTCAGGTTGTAGCCCAAGACGTCTCCAGAAGACCAGGAGTGGCTGGAGGTGAAACTCTTCTGACAGCGGCAGTGTGGGCCTAGGAGGCTGGGACGCACCAGTCTCCTCGGCCTGTCGGTCAGCAGCAGGAAGGGATGATGGGGACAAGCTCTCTGCCTTGACTTCCCGCGGGAAGCAGGCTAAGATACCTCATTCCAGCCCTCACGGGGCCCATCTGCTAAGACGCGAGCGAACGGGGCTGTGCTAATGAATGAGCCCGACGGCCTGCCTGCCGCCCCACCTCCTGCGGAGAACCGTTCCCCGCAGTCACCGGGAGCCGGCTGCACAGGGACAGCCAGCATGTGGGCTGTGCACTGGGGACCCCCGCCTGGGGCCTCACTCCCTCCCCGCCGGCCCTAGGAGGAGCACGTGGACCGGGTCCCCCTGGCGGAGCGCTAGGCAGCCCACCCCACGCCGGGCCCTGATCAGGAAGGTAAGACGAGAACCAGCGCTCACCTGACATTGGCTTTGTCCACGCCCATCCCGAAACTAATGGTCGCGACGATTATGGGGACTTTCTCCTCCATCCACTCGCTCTGCACCAGCGTTCTCTCAGCAGCCTTCAGCCCTGTACAGGAGGGGAAGGTGGAGATGGGAATCCACCTCTCCCTGGGGCTTCCTTTGGGGTCTGTCTTGGGTCTGGCACTGTGCTGGGCACTGCACACACTCCTGAGTTCATCACTCCCCAGCTGCGTGACCTCGGGCCAGCCACTTCACCTCTAATAAAGGTAAAGACCCAAGCCCGTGCACGGTACACGGCACACAATGAATGAGAGCCGACATTCAAACCCAAGTCCCTCGGCCTCCAGAGCCTGTGCTCTTTCCGTAACCCCGACACTTGGGCTTGTAGAAGAGCTCATCCAGCCCTGGCTGGCGTAGCTCAGCGGATTGAGCACGGGCTGCAAACCAAAGTGTCGCAGGTTCGATTCCCAGGCAGGGTACATGCCTGGGTTGCAGGCCATGACCCCCAGTAACCGCACATTGATGTTTCTCTCTCTCTCTTTCTCCCTCCCTTCCCTCTCTAAAAATAAATGAATAAAATCTTTGAAAAAAAAAAAAAAAAAGAGCTCATTCCCGGCTGCCGGGTGCGCACAGGGCGAGAAAACGAATTCAGGAGTCACGGGTCTCATTTTAGACCTCGCTCACGTCTAGACCCCCCTTTTGTGGATTTAAACCAATCACTTTAGCTCTTCCTGGGTATCTAGAAAAGATGTCAGAACACCTGACTTTCCAGGACCCCGAGGACCTCTCGCGCAGAGGCTCCTGACAGTGAAGAGGACCACGCGGCCTGGGCAGCCTTACCTGCGTGGTAGGCCTTGGCATTCAAGCCCCTGGAACTGAGCTCTATGGCCAGCTGTTCACAAGCCTCTCGGGTCCTGCAGTAGACAATGCCGCAGCCGGAAAACAACTGAATGGGAAGAGAGGAACAACAGAAAAGAACAGAATCGCTGGAAAAAGCAATCCGTCTGCTTTAACAGAAGCTCTGTCTCTCATCGGCTCCAGTCTCTTCTGGAGCGGGCCACCCAGCAAGGCTCTGCCACTTTCTAACAATGCAGGAGCAAAGCAGCTCAAAAACCAAGCAATCTGACTCCGCTGCCCTCTCCCCATGGACCCTGAATAGGTCTGCAAAGGCCGCCGTTGGAGGCTGGCTGCTTGCCTCGCACAGAAGTTTTCTAGGACGAGGAAACCGCGGGAAGGGGAACAACGCCAGGAAGCCAAGGGGACCGCTCTCTGCGCCTTAGGCAGCGACGGCTAGCCTGGCTGAGGACTCTGGACACAGCACAGGCCTTAGAAAACCAACGGCCATGTCTACACTGTGGACAGCATGCCACAAGGCATCCCGGCCTCCCCGCCTCGGTGCCCTCACCCCTTGATCGGTCTTCTGTCCGAGAGCCTTGAGGCAGAAGTCCCGCAGGTTCCTGTAGGGGTCAGGCAGCAGCTCCTTGAACTGCACGTCGTAGAACAGATTGGCCCGGAAGCAGGGGGTCTTGAAGACGGCGACCGGCTGCTTCAGGTGCAGGGCGGCAAACACGTCCTCCTGGACCTGCGGGGTGGCTGTGGCGGTCAGGGCCACACACGGGGCCCGCGCCAGGCGGGAGCGCAGGGCCCCCAGGCGCAAGTAGTCCGGACGGAAGTCATGTCCCCACTGGGAAATACAGTGGGCTTCATCCACCACCAGGTAGGACAGCAGGTGGCGGGACACCAGGGAGTTGAGGGTGGGCTGGAAGGAGGCGGACGCCGCCATCTCCGGAGTAATGTACAGAAGTTTGGTGCGGGGCTGTTCTTGCTCCAGGTCCCAGAGCAGCTCCTTCTTCTCCTGGGCCGAGAGCTTCGAGTTCAGGGAACGCACTCGCACCTTCAGGGCCAGCAGGTGGTCTACTTGGTCCTGAGGGCAGAGGCGGGAGAGGCACCGCGGGGAGTATAACTGGCCCACAGGATCTCAGAAAGTCACTACAAAGCCCTGGGGTATTTCCCGGCCATAAAACACGCCCCCCCACCCTCCAGTACATCTTCTCTTTGCATACAAGAAGCACTTGGAGGGCTGGCTCTGGCGCCGAACAGGCCTGGATGTAATCCTGGCACATGCAACTGCCACACGCGCCTGGGCTCGCTCTTAACCTTAACCTGTCAATTTTCTCACTCGCCCCCACCCACTATAAAAATAGCAACTATCTAATAGGATTGTTGAAGGAATTAAATTTTACATCTCAAAGGAGAACTTGATGCAAGTAAAGCACCAGCACTAGGCACTGTTATTGGTCTTTCCCGTCTCTCTTTCTTCGTGGTCGATGGCTCTTAACTACACGGCTACGCTTCCTCGTTGCTGACCCAGCAGCCCGTCCGCCTCAGTGCTGTCAGAAACGCAGAGAAGATGCTAACAACATCCCAGTGAGTCTGTCTTCTTCTCTGTCACAGCTGTGCCCTTGCCAGAATAGAGGAGGACACCAGGGGTCCCCGTATCAATTTAGCTCCCTATCCAGCTGCATCTTCTATCCCGTCAAGAGTGGGTATGTGGAGCCCTGGCTGGTGTAGCTCAGCGGATTGAGCTCGGGCTGCTAACCAAAGTGTCCCAGGTTCGATTCCCAGTCAGGGTACATTCCTGGGTTGCAGGCCATAACCCTTCAGCAACCGCACATTGATGTTTCTCTTTCTCTCTCTCTCTTTCTCCCTCCCTTCCCTCTCTAAAAATAAATAAATAAAATCTTAAAAAAAAAAAAAGAGTGGGTATGTGTATACAGAGACAGTTCCACAGTCCCTGGGACAAAAAGTAACAAAGGAGAGTAAGAGTCCACCGGAGTGCTACGCCGTAGTGGAGAAGCCCACACACGGGCAATTTGGAAACCCAATACAGCAAGTGAGATAAGCAAATCAAGGAAAGTAAGAGGCAAAAGACCAGAGAAAGCAGAAGTGAAATTTCCAGGTGTAGACGACCTTTCCCTAACGTCCTCAGGGTACCCTCTTCTTCACTCCCCTGAGCCTCACCTGAATCAGAGCAATGAGAGGAGAGATGACGATGGTGATGCCTTTGGCCAACACGGCAGGGAGCTGATAGCACAGGGATTTTCCTGCCCCTGTGGGCATGCACACAAAGACGTCCCTGTCACCTGCAGCAGTACGAGACAAGATCTCAGTGCTTCCTGCCTTTTATCTCTTTCCTTCGAGGCTGTTGAAAATTCACTGAGAATGTAGGAAGATGCCCTAGAAGTGTATGGCACACATGTGGGGGGGTTGTTGGGGGGGGGCGGTTCTCAATGTAATCTTAATTCCCTTCCCAACCTTTCTAAAAAAGGATACAGGGACATTTGGAAAAGCACACAAACCACTTCTGATAACGGTCCTAACAACTACAAGGTTAAGAAGTCCAAGCCGGCGGGGATATAGGCGATTGAGCTAAACAGCCATGTAAGCGGAATGCTTTGTAGATGAGTGGGCATAGCTGTGTGGACATGGAAGCCACATCACTCAGACATCTCTTGTTTATAAATGTTACAGCGTAATTAATATCACACTGCTGCCCCTCTCTTGACAAGTTCCGTGTGTCAACGAATTGCAGGTTTATGGTATTATTACTCCTTCCTTCCCTATTTGGGATCCAGGCCACTCAATCTTTAACAAAGGGATGGTCTACGTCAGTGGCTGGATTAGGCTCTTTCTGCCACCCCTACACACACTAGGGGGACTCTATGAACTGTTTTCAAAGACAATCTGTAGCTCTGAATATGAAGTGTAAGAAATAGGACAGCTGGGTGGCTCCACCAGTAAAACTGCAAGTTTGGGGGGAGGAGTCTACAAGCTTTCCAAAACCAATTAAGGACCCAGGTGGGGAGGTAGGAAGGGTCAGAAGGAGGGTGTTCTAGGCAGGGAGTGCTTCCTTATAGCCAGCATAAATGTAAACACAGGTAGTTCTGCAATGTTACCTTTCACTACAGCCATGGTCGCACTCTCCTGTAAAGGCGTCTTAAAAGAGTCAAACCCAAAGACCTTCTTCAACGTGCTCCGGACTCGATGCTCAGGGTCAAAACGAGAAGAATGGTGGCTGCTCATCTTAGCGACAGACGGTGGCCAGAGGTTAGTGCAAAGCTGATGATCATATGGTTGTGGCAACAGCCCCCTGTTCTGCTTTTATTCAGATACTGCTGATTTTTCTCTCTGAGTATAAATTTCCTTTATTACACTCAAGCAATATATTATCTTCAAGTAATACAGCTCCAGGTGAACAGTCTCAAGCAATACGTTCCTGGGTAATTAACATCTCCACTTTTACGTCAGGGAAAAAAAAAATTTTGAACTCTCCCAGGCCACACGGTATATATAGCACGGAGCCAGAAATCAGATCATGAGAAAAAAACACACTGTCTTCGGAATAGTCTGGGGAAGGTGGAACTGCTTGTCTAAGATCCGTCTTCAGCTCCTCCTATACGCACGGCTATGACGACCATTCTTCCTCCCAGGACCCCGACCGATCCCTTCGTCCCCTCTCCCAGAGAAGAGATCTTCCGCTTTCCTCTTCGGAGCCCCTCAACCCACTCTTCTCTTCCTTTCTCAGCTGAAGACTCTCTCTCTCCACGCCAAGGTATCAAAGCCGGCCGCGGCCCGCCCAGCAGCGAAGGGCTCAAGGTGGGGGGAGGAGGTCGACGTCTGCTGGTTCGGGAACCCCGGGAGGAGCCCCCTCGCCACCGCCAGCTCTGAGAACCCGATCAGCTAGACCCTCACTACTAGGTAAAACTCAGGCAACCTTGAATCCGTCGCGCAGTAGTGACGTTCACGAGGGGCGGGGCCAGACTCAGAAACAGCCGTCTTTGATTGGTTCCCGGTCTGGAACCGGCGCGGGTTCTCCAGGGACCCGGAAGAGGTCGCCTTTCCGTACGGAAGTCGTCTTTCTGTAGTCAAGGGAGTGAGGCCGGCCGAGGCGGTGGGAGGAAGATGGCGGGGAAGAAGAATGTCCTGTCTTCTCTGGCGGTGTACGCGGAAGACTCAGAGCCCGAGTCTGACGGCGAGGCTGGAGTCGAAACGGCGGGCAGCGCGGCCGGTGAGGCCCGAGTCGGGAGGTGGAAGGGGGAGAAGCGGGTGTTTACTCCGAATGCTGCCCCCCTTGCGGGGTGGGAGGGGGAAGCGATGGTCACGGTGCCCCGAGTGTCGGGCCCCGAAGCGCCGTCGGGGTCCTGGGCGGACGCTCTGTGGTAAAAGTGCATCGTCTCCTTCCGTTGACTCGATTATCCTGCCAAAATTGACTGAAAAGCTCTGTGCCGGGCATCTTGCTGGGCAGAGGGGTATACAAAGGGTGGGCAGGGTCCAAGGCTGATGAAATAGGCTACCTGTTCTGAGGATGTTTGATGGGAGAGAGAGATGAGCAAAACGTAGATGGAGAGTGATACGACTTGTATCTTAACTGCATTTATAACTGTTAAGTAATGTGCCCCAGACGCATCTTGAAGCTTTTAAAAACTGTATCTGGTCTCCGCTAGACTCGAGAGTCTAATTCTGTAGACCTGGGCGTGTGTGAACTCTAAAGGCTCTTCGGCGATCCCGTTATTTTGGGCGTTGTTGAAACTCCCGAGTGATTTTGTTGCCCTACTCGGTGAGAAGCGCGGCGTTAGGAAGTGGGGACGGATGTACGCGGGAGCGCAGAGCGGCGATAAGTTTCCTAACGTTATCTGGGTCTGTTTCCTCAATGGAAAGTGAGGGCCTTGGACTTGAGTTCGCTGCTGCCCGTTTTGTGTGGTCTTCGCCAGCCAGGAGGTTGTCTGGCGGTTTCCCAGTAATGCGTATTGTTGTTAGGGTTTTCTTGGCGGTGGTTTGTTTTGTGTTAAACGTAGGAAAAGATTGTTTCTGAGGCAGGTGTGTTGGGAGTCCCGTGGAGTAGCCCCTGTTCAAGGTCCTGCTCCTGGGGAAGGACACACAGAAATGAGGACGACAGAGGACTCCTATGAGGAGACCAGTTCACTGGTGCATGTGATACAATGTAGCCGTCTACAGAGGTGCTCAAACAGCGCAGTCTGGGGCCTGCGGCCATTTAACATGAGGTTTAGGTTCCTTTTTCACCCTAAGATATAGTTCTAGCCACTCAGATCACCGAAAGGTTTACTTGCACTTTCCCCCATTTATTCATTTTTATTTTTCTTCTCCTTTTCAGAGGAGAAAGGTGGATTGGTGTCTGAGGCCTACGGAGAGGACGATTTTTCTCGCATCGAGGGTGATGAAGATGGTTACGAAGAAGAAGAGGATGAGAACAGCAAACAGTCGGTAAGTAGATCTGTGCCCGAACCCGCCGCTGCTCAGAGCGCCACTTCGCTGGTTAGAAACTTCCGGAACTGTTCCAGCGGTTCTACCTAATGGTCACCCCCCAACACACACACTCTTTGGTGTCAGTGAAGGGAACTGGGCTGGACAGTGGCAGTTCTGTTTGTAAGTCACATCTGTCTTCACCTGGAGCATTTTGCATTAACCTTTGAATTAAATTTTGGGGGGAAACATAGTGAATTATTTTATTTAACCCAGATATTGGCGAGGGTTTTATGGTGGTTTTCCCTTTTTAGATCATATTTATTCTATTTGTAACAGTGTGTTCATTCTAATTGGTGTATCATTTATATCTGCGATCAACACTATTATTTTTCATCTTGGTGGGGGCTCATTCAAATCTTTAGCTTATTTAAAAGATTAGGAAGGAAAATTATTATTGTGTGTATGTGACTTAATCCTTCTCAACTTCTTCCTTGACATTTTACTTCACACTTGTTATCACAGTGCCCCTGGTTCTTGACCACAAATCTTGCCTGGAGTTCAGTGTGTGTTGGCTAACAAGAGAGGACTTGCGTCTCCACCAGAAAGGCTTTAGATACACCATCACCTGAGTATCATGAGCCAGAATTTTAAAGTTTGGGGGGGAAACAAAACAAGGATTCCAGTTGGTGCTTAGTACAAAGACGTGCAAAGTTAAACCTGGATATTTAGCAACGACCGTAATTGAAATAGTCAATGTACTTCCAGTATTGGTTTGAAAACTTCGTTATACGTTGATATGTAAATATTACTGTTGAACTGCTTTCCAGAGTAAACAAAAATGGGCTGCGTAGTTTATGCTCTTTGGGAAGATGTGTTCATGCCCCTCGCCCCACCGTTGATGCTGATAAATCAGAATTGGACTGAAAGTGGTTAGAAAGGCTTTGAAAGTCATGTTCTTTTCCTGGCTTTTTAAGTGCACGCATTCTGGCTTACCATCCGTAATGATTTTCTTCAGTAGAGCTGCATAGTGTGTTTTGAAACGTTATTCCACATTTGTTTTCCTTAAGATTTTCATTATATTTAAGCTTTATTTCATGTTTTTGTGAAATCCTCTCGTTAAATCCCAGTATAGACGGTCTCAAATGTGATTGTATTTGGCTCAGTTGCGTCTCTGATATTTGGCCTGATCGGGTTCGTTTGAAGGAGGTTATGGAGATTGCCTTTATGACCTCTGGCTCGCTGACACCTTACAAGACAGTTAAACCTCAAACCCGTCGGAATAGGTGGTTCAAGTCTCTGAGCAGATGTTTCTATTAAGACCTGGAATGCTGTTTAATTTACAGTGTAGCTTGATTGGAAAAAACAGTTTCAAGTGAAACTTAACTTTTTCCTGGGTGTTCAGTTAAATATTCCCGCGCATTGGGGTATTCTGGGTAGTGGATCGGATGAGTGGATCCTGATAGGGGAGCTAACCTTTGACCTTCATGAGCACTCAGTGGAAGGGTGGGCTAGCACCTGCGAGGCTCTCGCGTGTGCCTCGGAGAACGCCTTGCCTGTGCGGTGCCTTGTGTCGGGCGGGCCATTGGATAAGGAGCAAGGCTGGGTAGAGCGGTAGGTTGCAGGTCTGGGAGGCCTTGGGTGGAGGCAAGGCACCTCACCTGGGGTCCCAGAAAGGCTGGGCCTTGCCCGTTAGTCGTGCCGTCCCGGGTCACTTGCCCTGGTCCTTGGATGCTGACCTTCCTTCTGTTCGTGTTGGTGCCGGTGCTGCCTGGTGGACGTGCCAGTGCAGCTATGTGCGGGCCACCGGGCTCCGGCCGTGACCACGGTCGGCGAGGGTCTGAGTTGGGTGTGTTCGCATCTTTGAGGAGCAAAGGAGAAAACGTCCGTGTTTCTGGTTTTAAGTAATTGATATCTCATTGGAAACGGTGTGCTTGTTCTACCCTGTGGGGCCTTAGGCTTTCCTGAAGCATGTGGTCACCTCTTCTCCATGTTTCCCTGTGTGGTTACTCAGGCATTTTCACTAGTGTAGACAGTAGCGCTGCTGGAGTACCAACTTGGAGCCGCTGATGTTCTTTTGCCCCCAGAACATCTCCTTTTGCCCTTCTTTCTCCAGTTCCGGGTCATAGGGGAGGGGAGGGGTTCCTGGTGGAATGACCCCGGCCAGGTAAATTTGCTGCAGCCCCTAGTTATGCATGTGAGAACCCTCAGGCCCACTCTTTTAAGCTTAATCCTCTAAATTCTTTGTCTTGTAGGAAGATGACGATTCAGAGACTGAAAAACCTGAGGCTGATGACCCAAAGGTATTTGGTGTTGGCTGTGGTGGGTGGCTGGATGCTAACAGGGCATTGTAACAGTATGGCTCAGTTCCCGTGTCTGGTCAAGGTCTGTCCCGCAGACACGCAGTGCACCCATGTGTAAATTGTTCTGGGGCAAAGTCAGTTCCATAGGGGAACCTAGAGGCCGCTCTGGCGCAAGCGAGTCTGGAGGCAGCCTGGACCTTCAGCCTCGCAGACAGAGCCAGAGCTCCAGGCTAGAGAGGCTGGGGGCCCGGCTGAGCGCAGCCGTCTGCCCGTGCTGTGCCAAAGCACTGGCTTTGCTGGGCTTTGTGGGGTCACTGCCCACGCAGGGGGGGGCAGGTGTGGGGGTGTTTCCAGAGTCAGGGAGCCCTGAGGGACGCCCTGCGTGCCCTGGGTTCTCTGCGGTTGTCCAGGAGCGCAGAAGGGCCACAGGGGGTGAGGGAACAGGGCCTCCCCCTGCTGTTGGGGCTGCTGAGCCTAGTCGTTGCTTTTCCGGGCTCGAGCCCTTCCACTCTGGGGTGGGCCGTGCAGAGTGGTCTTCAGGACGACGTAGCCAGTTCTCCTGCTTCCATCCCAGTAGCAGCCGAGGGTAATCAGTGCCTCCCCTCGCCCTCCTCAACCCTGCCATCATGAGGGTTAAGGACTGCCCACCCCGTGCCAGGTGGGCTTGTGGCACTCTGCCTCCATGCTGGGCATCAGAGCAAGTGGGCCTGTCGGGGAGATGCTCCTTAGGGACAGACCCCCCCGGCTCTGAAAGAAGAAGACTGATTGTATCCCGCTGGGCCCGGGGAATAGGGCCCAAAGTGTGTGATTAAAAGCTGCCTTAAACCCAGTGGAGGCCTTCAAGCTGACCTGGTGGAATTAGGAAAAGTATACCCAGTCAGAACCTAAAGTGGTAGCGCGTTCGAAAATGCACATGAGCTCTTCAGGTTGGAACCGATTCTGTGATCGGACAGAACTAGGTACGAGCCCTAAACGGGACCCGTGGAAAGGCTGTGGGTGATGCCGAGAAGGCGTCGCTGTACCAGGATGTTTTAGCATCAGCATGTAGGAAGGGAAAATGTATCCTAGGAACAACATTTCAGGCTCCTTCCTGTGCCTGGCGAGGAACCCAGGCTCCCGCGTCCAAGCTGGAGGGAGGCCTGGGACCTGGCAGGAAGGTCACAGCTCAGCCTGGGCTTGCAGTGGTATCCGTGTTTGGCTTCTGTCCTAGTATGTG